TTGGGGCACTCAGTGTCTAAAAGGTTCGCCATCACTGTTCTAGCATCTTCAATTCTCTCCAGCTAGCTTTCCAAGCTGCTTCTCAGCTTCTCTCAAAAATAAAACTTCCAGCTCTTTGACTGATATTTACTCCTTTGGTAGGATTGCTTTGATATTGTTTAGATGAAACCTCATGCCTTTTCTTTTCCACTTCTTTCTCATGAATAATCTTTCTGACATAAGAGGGCAGAACATCATGCCTTTTCTTCTTTCCTTCTCACTATCCTTACCACACCCAAAGTGGGGATTTTATATTCATTTTTGAGTTAGCTTTCTTCCTTGTCACCGGAATTAGTTTCTTTTTCCTCCATTCTTTGCCCTGTCCCATGACATGACCTTTAGCACTGACTTAGTTAAACTATAATCTGGAGCCCACAGATTTAATAAGCAATAAGAGCTTTTCTATCTCTTCCCTAAATCTAAGATTCAGTTTCCTGCATCCTGTAGTTAATCTTTCTTGCCATGAACCTCTTTTATGGCACACTTAGAGTTATGGCTTCACGCCAGATACTAAGTTATTATTGTTGAGGTTAGCCCAATGTAGGATAATTGAACAAGAAGATTTATGTGAGATTCAGTGTACTGGCCAAAAGGATCTGATAACACACTTTTCTGAACCATTCCTAATATTGTTTATGTAAGCAAATAATTGCTCTAGCTTTAAACATTACAGTGTCTTGGCGACGTTTCGACGAAGTCCCATTCGTCATCTTCAGGCTGGTGTTTTCAGCTTCGTGCTTCGAGAAGCACGAAGCTGAAAACACCAGCCTGAAGATGACAAATGGGACTTCGTCGAAACGTCGCCAAGACACTTCCAATTTTACGTGGGGGAAAACCCGAATAACCAAAGACCTACATACATACATACATACATACATACATACATACATACATACATATATATATATATATATATATATATTAACAGTACAAGTAAAAATTTGACTCTTGGGAATTTCCATTTTTTATTAAAATAATGATCACCAAGAGAAATTAAGAAATAAAAGTTTCTTTCAGCATCTGCCTTTTAACCCTGATGATGTCAAGTGTATTTGATGAAAGCTTGGTTGATTAAACTTTTATTTCTTAATTTCTCTTGGTGATCATTATTTTAATTATATGGAGTAGTCCACTTGTTATTTGGAAGTAAATGCTCTGAAACTGCTTGTATTGTTGCAGATTTAATATTTCGGACTAAAAGTTTACTGTATTTCTAGACAAAATACCATGATCCATTTTTTGGTTTTTGGAGTGACTCCTAAAGAAAAGAAAAACAAATGTTAACCAGGAAAGGCATAGTCTGGGCTTGCTCAGAATGGTTTTGCATATTTCCAGAACAATCATAAACCGTTCTCTGTCATTTGATTTAAAAAGTCCTGCTATTTCCTCATTTTTAATTTTGTTATTGTTTTAAAATACAAAAGAGAACAAGGCAACAAAGAACTAAAAAACACAAATGCAAACAACAAAAAAGAAACCTATTTTCAAATATAGGAAAAAAAATTAATATTGTTAAATTGTAACCACACAGAAAACAATTAGTCTTTCTATTAGACTGGTAAAGAGCCACTTTACAGACATAAAGTGAACACATATTTTCAATTTTCAATTCAGCATAGTAATCCTGGAATTGCTCAATTTTTCCAAAATTTTTATAATATCATATGCTCAGTACTCCCAGTAATAAAGTAATATTCAATAAAGTACTCAAAAGATAAGCAAGAACACATGCACAAGACTACATATAACAGCTCAAATTTCAAAGTCCTTAATGGGAGTGCCTCCTATTTCAGGTAACATCAGGGCACTGGTTCATATGCAATTTCTATATGAAGGTAAGCAAAACTAAGCTAAGCAGAGAAGCAAATTAACATAAATTAGAGTCTCTGAAGATAAGTGTCAAAACAAAGTGTCATTTACCATAGGGAACGTGGAATAGTAGTTAAGATTCAGTCCGGAGTTCAGAGAGGCCAAGCAAGCTTTATTGGGCAGTCCAAGTTCATCAACCTTTCAAAAGAAATAAGGTTCAGGTTTTCTATACAGGAAGAAAACACAGGCAAAACATGTCAAGAAAGGAAATCAGATGGTTGCTGCCAACAGTGAAACTTGGTCAGGACTGTCTCTTAAAACAGAATGCAGCCAGCTCTTCTTAGAACATAGAATAGTATGGTTGTAAAGAATCTTGTTGGTCTTCTAGTCGAACTTCCTGCCCATGGCAGGAGATCTAACACAAGTCTGGACAAATGGCTATCTAATCTCTTCTTGAAAGTCTCCAGAGATGAAGCAACTTCCTGAGGCAAGCTGTTCCATGGATTAATTGTTCTCACTATCAGGAAATATTTCCTTAGTTCTAGCTGGATCCCTTTTTAATGATCTTCCACCCATTACTTCTTGTTCTGCCCTGGAAAATAAATTAACTCTTCTCTGTGATAGCTCATCAAGTACTGGAAGACAATTATCATATCACCCCTAGTTCTTCTCTTGGTTAGATTAGGCCAGTGTTTCTCAACCTTGACAATTTTAAGGCATGTGGACTTCAACTCCCAGAATTCCACAGCCAGCATTGCTGGCTGTGGAATTCTGGGAGTTGAAGTCCACATGCCTTAAAATTGTCAAGGTTGAGAAACACTGGATTAGGCATACCTAGTTCCTTCAATCATTCATCATATGGTTTAGCCTCCAGACCGTTATCATCTTTATTGGTCTTCTCTGTTGCCTTTTTTTTTTTTTTTTTTTGTATATTCCAAGTGTGGTCTCACCAGTGCAGTATAAAGCAGTTCTATGACTTCATTTATTCTTGAAACTATCCCTCTGTTGATACAACCTAGTATTGCGTTTGGTCTTTTTGGCAGCTGCAGCAAATTGCTGGCTCATACTTACAGTAAGTGGTGGTCTATTAGGGCACCTAGATCTCTCTCACAGTTGCTATTATTGAGCCATCTACCACCTATTGTATATCTGTACTTGTGAGTTTTGTTGCCTAAGTGTGGAACCTTACTTTTCTCATCACTGAATTGCATTTTGTTGGATAGGGTCCAGTGTTCAAGTCTGTCAGGTTCTTCTAAATCTTGAGTCTGTCATTTCAAGTGTGAGCTATTCTCCCCAGCTTGTGGCAGCTGCAAATTTGATGAATTCTCCTACTATTCCCTCATCTGAATCTTTCATGAAGATTTTGAAAAGTACTGGGCCAAAGACAGAATTTGAGGTATCCCACTGATTGCTTCCCTCATGTAAGTGTAATTCCAATGAGGACTAACCCCCTGAGTGTGGTTGGTTAACTAGTTGCGAATCTACCTTGTGGTGATACTGTCCCACATTGTTCTATCTTACCAAGACGTTAGGTTGTAGTCTATTTTGTTAAATACCTTATTGAAGTCTAAGTAACCAATGTTACTAACACTGAATGAGTTTCCTTCAATCCTTAGCGAAAGATGTTTTAAATATAAATCTAGTCATTTTTTCCAAATCAACAGGAAAAGGGGGATTAGGGGAAAGTTACAATTGGACTAAGGCTCCAGATAAATTTGAAATAAGATTTTGGAGCTAATTATAAAAACTCTTTCTATGGGAAAATGATTTTTTTATTCTATTTTTTTTATTTTGACTTAATTTGATGATACTAATGCAGAATAAATTAAAATACTTTAACATTGGGTATAATGAAAGATCACTTTGAACAATGGACTTAGAAATTAATTTTAAGAGTGTCTATTCCTATAAGTAATGTTTTAAAAATGTATAAAAGAGAAATAAGTTTTACCTGATAAGACTGAGACTGTCCTTAAAGTGATTTTAAAATGACATGTTACAAGAATGATATGGACACAAAAGAAATTGGCCGATGTCTTAATAATTTAAAGGAATATACAAATAATAAGTCAAGAATGTGACCTGGATAATTTCCTAAATTGGATTTACAAAATAATTGTTAAAAGTTTTAAAAAATTTTATGAAAAGGGACAGAGAAAACATGAAAATATTTTGTGGGACGTTATTTGAAGGATCTAAAGATCAAGATTGTTAACCATAAAAGGAAGGAATATAAATATGGTTTAATTAATCAAGGTTAAAATAGATAAATGTTGTTATCTTTGTTAACTCTTAATGTACTTTTGCTGATCTGGACTGAATATTAAGTCCATAAGGGTTTGTTTATGGATAAGAGATGTGCTATGACAGAGGTCCTCAACCTTTTGGGCACCAGGGACCAGTTCCGTGGAGAGAGGTTTTTCCGCAGACCAGAGGGTGTTTGGTTTTGTGTGCTGCCTGTATCTCACAGATGGGGCTTTGCTTGTTTGTGCAGCCCAGTTGCTGGCATGCCGCAGCCCGGTTCTGGTCCACGGTACCCCTGCACTATGAGAAGAAGAAATCACTTGTATTTAAGAGAAAATGAATGGTTTATAATTGTTTTGATGAGGAAGACAGTTATTTATTATTTTCTTACTTTCTTTTCCATTTCTATTTCTGTTTCTCTTTTTCCTTTTTCCCCCCTGCACTTTCTACTCTTTTTTCAGTTTGTATTAGTTTTTACAGTTTTAAATATAATCTTTAATAAAATTATTACAGGAAACCACCTCCACTCAATTTTTGGAGAAATGCAAATAATAGACCATCATATGACTTCTATCCAAATATTGACTTCAAAAGTGGGGGGGGAAGTTAAGTTCATGAAGTGAACAAATTGCTTTCCTATAAGATTGATATTCCAAAAGGTTGATTTAATTTGCAATGTTTGTAGAAGAACAAAAGAATGTTCTATACGTTCTTTAGGAATGCTTGCAATGAATTAAGATCAGAATGAGGAACTTCAATTCTTATTAAACTGTCGATTTCTAACTAAGACATATCAACAAAGTATAATCAGCAGCTGAATCACTCCATCAGAACAAAGTCCTGCTATAAGATATGCTGAAGTTGACTGCACATATAAATACCTGCATATCTAATACTTCTGTGCCATTCTTTCAATCAATGAGGGTGAGGAAAGTAGTGCCAACAAAGATGGCAATCAGTCAAGACATTTTGGTGGTAATGATGCTACTACATGGAGTAATGGGAACGATGATCAATCTCAACAATAGTGGTTTTGAAGACATTGTTATTGCTATTAATCCAACGATACCTGAAGATGACAAAATTGTTACCAACATAAAGGTATGATAATTAGACATTTACAAATATATTAACTGTATAATATATTAAGAATTCTGCTAGCTATATAGTGGTAGAATCTATTTGCCTCTTGTAAATAATGAGTTAACTTCCAAGTTGTGTGTGTGTGTGTGTGTTACGGTGGACAGCTCCCTGTGTCAAGGGACTGGGCAATTCGAGACCAATTTGATAATAAGAAAAGAGACCTTTTCTGATTGGCATCCATTTGAATAGGCACGAATATCAACTGATAAACAAGCTAAAATATATTTGTTTAAATTGTAACTATAGCTGCCATTTTTATCTATTTCTATTGATCATGCGACTTGATTCTGTCTAATATTTTACTGATTTAATTGTATCCTGCCTTTATTAGTTTTGCAAATAACTCAGGGCAATGAACATATTCAACACACCTTCCTCCTCCTATTTTCCCAACAACAACCCTGTAAGGTGCTGAGAAAGAGTGACTGGGCCAGTTGGTCATCCAGCTGGCTTTCATGACTAAAGAGGGACTAGAACTCACCACAGTCTCCTGCTTTCCTGCTTTTGTCCTTTTAGTAATGCTTTCCTCTTTGGTGATGTGTAAGTGTACCCCCTGCTTTTACTATGAAGTTCCACCATTAATGTTTATGAAACTCTAAAGAAATTCATAAACGCTTCAACCAACTTGAATACTCAGGCCCATAATGCTGCCCTTTATCATATGGACTTTGTGCTCCATTTTAAAAGTTTTCCACACTCAAATCAGGCTAATTGTTAACTAGTCTCCCTCTTTCACCTCTTTGAAGGAGAGATGAAGAAATCCTCCTTCATTTCATATAATTGTAATAATTTGATCTCTGGCACAATATATCATATTAGTGCTGGCCTTCCCCACCCTGATGTTTTTGAAGATGAACTACAAGTCTTCTTTTTTAATCAATATGGCCAATGAACATGTTTACTGAGATTATGGGAACCATAATAGTTCATTACATCAGAAAGATATAAAAAAATGAGGAAAATTCATACAAACAAGCTGGAAGAAAAGTATATTTCTTATATATTCATATATTAAACAAGACTGTGAGCTTTAGCAAAATTTTATTAAATAGTTTTATTTTTAATGGATCTTATTCACATACATTTAATTTAATTCTTTTTTTATAGTTTCTCAACATAGCAGATAGCCTCATTTGCTAATTTCCTGAATGTCAAGATTTTGTCAAGTGTTCAAGAAAAAAAGAATACAGAAAGGACAAAAAAAGATACAACATAATTTGTAACTTTCAGATTCTGGGAAGTTGAGGTCTAGGTAGAATCATTTGCGTATGTCTAGTTTAATGAAGAGAAGGGCGAGGGGTAACATGATAACAGTCTTCCAATATCTCGGGAGCTGCCGCAAAGAAGAGAGAGTCAAGCTATTCTCCAAAGCACCTGAAGACAAGACAAGAAGCAACGGATGGAAACTAATCAAGGAGAGAAGCAACCTAGAACTAAGGAGAAATTTCCTGACAGTCAGAACAATTAATCAGTGGAACAATGTACAGAGCCCTAAGCAGTAACTATTGACAGCTCCACAACAAAGTGAATATATTTGCATTTTGTGTTTCTATTAGGATATGGTTAAAGAAGCATCCAATTATCTCATCAGTGCTACAGAACGAAGATTTTACTTTAAGTCTGTAAAAATTATAATTCCAATGACATGGACATCAAAACCAGAGTATAAAAGAGTAATAAGAGAATCCTACGAAAAAGTAAGTGGAGAATATTCCTCAAAAATATGTGATATTTATTTGATTACAGCCGCAAGGCTGTTAGTAGGTCAATATTGGAAGAAGGAATCTTTGCCTACTTTGCAAGAGTGGTTTTTTAAAGTATCTTATTTGGCGGAAATGGCAAAGATTTCGGCTTTCTTAAAAGAGCAAACGCAAGAGAAATTTTTTGCTGTATGGGAAAAATGGATAAATTTTATACAATTTAAATTGGATATGAAAAAATATCATTTAGCTTTTTTATAATTTCTATAAAAACTCTATTTTTTCTTTTTCTTTTCTTTGTTTTTCTTTTTTAAATACTTCTTTTTAAGGTTTATAATTCTGTATTTATATATATTTTGTTCTTAATTATCTTATAATTTTGTTAATTCCTTTTAATTAAGCCTATATTCTGCTCTGGGAAGCTCGGGGGGGGAGGGAGGGGGTGATGTGGGAGGGGTTGGGGGAGGGTTGTATTGTTTTGTTTTTTTATTTTTTGTGTTGTTGTTGTTATTGGTTTTTTTTCTGTTTCTGTAAAAGTTCTTAAAAATTTTTAATAAAAAAAATGTGATATTTTAAGACCCAGAAATTATAATTTAGCTGCAGGTCTCTGATTTTGTCTTTATAACTCAGTTGCCTTCTCCAATTGCAGTTGCTTTGAAAGGGTATTTGCCTTTTAAGAAGGGAGTCTGAAAGAGCTCTATATGTTTAATCATCAGAAAAAATAACTGAGATAGAATATAGGATACTTTATAAATAAATAAAAAAGGTGACAGATTTAGAAGGTAAAGAGCTTTTCACTCACTCTCTTTCTCATTCCAGAGGTCAGGACAGAGAGTAATAGATTTAAGTTACACAAAGACAGATTCTGACTATTAGTAAAAAGAAATAAATGTAATAACAGTTCAACTATGCCGGCTGTATTCAGATTCTTCACTGAAACTCAATAGCCTAAACAGGTCCTTCCAAATGGACAATTTTAAGATATTGCAACTGTGATATTTGCAGGGGTTATGAATGTAAAACTCCATATTTACAGAAAGTTTGCAATTAAATCAATGTTAGCCCTACAAGATGGACTAGACCAGGGGTAGGCAACCTCGGCTCTTTTATGACTCGTGGACTTCAACTCCCAGAATTCCTGAGCCAGCATGGCTGGCTCAGGAATTCTGGGAGTTGAAGTCCATGAGTCATAAAAGAGCCGAGGTTGCCTACCCCTGGACTAGACTAAGAAACAATGCTGTTAGGGTCACCTACAGTAACAGAATCTTGCAAGTCTGAATCTCTTCTTCTTCCTCCTCCTCCTCCTCCTCCTCCTCCTCACAACCCAACTTAATATGGCCCAGGCAAATCAAAGTTTGGACATGCCTACCCAATACCCTCTGCAGTCAAAGAATAACAGAAAAGTTGTTACCTTCAAGTGAGCTTTATGCTCATTTCTGGAAAAAAACAATTTCTAAACTAAAACTAAAACAATTTCTAAAACACTAAAACTCAATTTAGTGGACTATTAAGGAAAGAGATATCCATTATTCTCAAAGATCTGCTAAATCCAAAAGTACTTTTTTGAATCTATTTATATCACTTATATAATGATATAATTAAGCAACTGTTGTAATGTTCACCATTTAGATAGTGACAACATTATAGAAATTGACACATAACATAATTTGTTTTTATTTTAGAATGACATTATTAAGGTGAAATTAACTGAAATGTATCTTGATTTATCTGAACTATTTGGGCTGTAACAGATTTGCCTGTTATTTTGAAGAGGAATGACATCTAAATGAAAATTTTACTCAATCTTTTTCAAGTCTGCTAAATAGTAGTCCACTAAATTAATGTTTTACTGTAATTCATGAGTGTCAAACTTGCCGCATCACGTGACATGTTGCGACATATCATAACTTTTTTTGCATTGCTGGAGTTGGGATTGCTGTGGCCTCTGCATGATGCAACTGGCCCGCAGGCCAGCAGTTTGACACCCCTGCTGTAATTGGTTTTTTGTGATATAAAGAGTCTTTCTTACAGTCTAACAAAGTGACTCTGTATTGCAAAGATGTTGCTGATATTGCTGAAAAATAACTGCTCACATCCCTAAATATTTCTCCTGCTAATTGTGGCTGCAAGGAATTATGAAGGACAATAGTTTCCCATCTCTGCAATATAATTAAATGAATTAAAGATATACTTAATATGACTAAATCATATGAGTATCAACCAAACCTTTCATTATTATGGTGATCCAAGTTTATGTTTCAGATGCAGAAGGAATTAATTTTGACTACTTCCATGCCAGTGTGCAACACCTTGTCAATTAAGTACCATAAAAGATGTTGTATTCATTATAGGCAATTTCAAGGCTAACGAATACTGAATAGTGTAATGCAATAAATAAAATATACAATGAATTTCTAAGAGGTGGTTTAAGACCAAGGATAATTTTGTATTAGCAATTTTTTCTTCACTGATCTTTAAAATATGCCCATTATTATTTTATTTTAGGCTGACATCATAGTAGCTGATCCTTATGTGAAATCTGGAGATGATCCCTACACTTTGCAGTATGGAGGTTGTGGGATACCAGGAAGATACATTCATTTCACGCCAGAATTTCTGACAAATGACAATTTGCATGATGTTTATGGATCTCGAGGTAATATATTGTAATTAACTGGGTCTTTTTTTCATTTTCATTAATGAAACCTTCAGTAGGCAGGGACTGAACAAGAACCAACAAAATAAGAAAGTTCATGAAAAATAAATGCCTAATCTTGCTCACTTGTTTCTAAAGGGTCAAAACTCAGGCAAAAGTTTAACAAGTTTGCATTTTAAACAAACCATACACCCTCCAGCCTGAATAGACCCTGGGTCTATTCAGAGGATGGCCAGATTCAAAAGATGGCTGGGTGTCTGCATGTTTAGTAATAAGATAGAAAAGGAACTTTCGATTTTGTGCAGCAAGTCATCTATGCTTTACTTAATGAATTTCCCCTTTGGACTTGCACATAGTTTTAAGTGCAGCTTCAATTCCAAAACTTTTTTCAGTGAGATCACCATTAAATACTCACTAACAATGGTATGTCTACAGTTCCAACAGCATTTAAACACATACACATAACATCAACTTCTTACCGACTATTGTAAATTTAAAATATTGTATTACAATTCAGTTGTTTTATTTTTTCCTACAGGTAGAGTCTTTGTTCATGAGTGGGCTCATCTCAGATGGGGTGTCTTTGATGAATATAATTATGATGCTCCTTTCTATGTTACCAACGAAAAGAAAGTTGAGGCAACAAGGTATCTTCCTCGATTTATATTGATCTAATAAAATACAGTGTCTAGATTTCAGCACTTCATCTATTTCTATCTACTTGTCTAGATCCAATTATTATCCAAATAATAATTCGGGTCACTGTCTTGATTTGTTATTTGTATATCCTTTTCAATTATTAAGCTATTAAGACAATGGTTTCTTTCATACATCCAGTGTAATATCATGGGAAGTTTTCTTTATAATTAATTTAAAAAACCTTATTTCAAAATTATCTGGGCTCTTAATCCATTTGTTTTGCTGTTTATTCAAATAAACTTTTGTTTTAGTCCTTAAACTTATAGTTTGAAGATTTTCTGTCACTAAGGATTGAAGGAAATTCACCTGGTGCTGTAAAACAAGTGAATCCCGAGGTTCCTAATAGCTGAAAGGCAGTTAACAAGTAATTTCTAAAAGTGATTATAAAAGGAAGCATGAAAACGTAAATGTCAAAGGGGTCCACTAGGATTTGAGCAAGATGACTAACCTTTCTTCTCCCAGAATTCCACCAAGGACTATCATCTTGGAAGGACCAGATGTCTGGACCATTGGTGGGTGATCTCTTGTCTGTAGAAGAATTTTCAAAGAGCTGCTCAGCGCTCTCCATTCCGCCATGGTTGTCAGCTCTGCTTTTCTGGGAGCCATCTTCAGTTCCCCATTTTTTCCCTAGAAGTCCCTCCAATACCAAAATTCATAATTGTCAATACTCTTCCTATCCTGCTTTTTCAGATATTCTCTGTTTAATATAAACATCTTCTCCTGACGTGAATGAGAGACCAAGAATTACTTGAGCTTTAAGCCAAACCTGGAACAAGGCAACAGCAAACCACTTTAGTACTCTTGCAAAAAAAATGAAATGGATATACCCCAAAAGTTATCAGAAGTCAAGCTCAATTTGAAACAAATGTTCTCTTTTTACATTGATGTCATAATATTTCATTTGTAAATTATGTATATTTTTATCATTTAGATGTTCAGTTAGTATCACTGGTGTTTATATATTTTCAACTGGACCAGGAAACTACAGAGACTGCAGATTCCGGGAGGACACTCAGATGTATGAACCGGGATGTCAATTTGTACCACATAAAACCCAAAGCACTCCAGTGTCGATAATGTATATGCAAAGTCTACCTTCTGTAAGTATGACTAATGTAAAGCATTTAATCTGATCCGATATTTGTCCTCCTGATTAATTCTTACTTTTATATTTTTAGGTTACTCTGTTCTGTAATGAAAGTAATCATAATATGGAAGCACCAAACCTGCAAAACAAATTCTGCAACTATAGGAGTACGTGGGAAGTAATCATGAATTCCACTGACTTCGCCTCTTCATCTATAATAAATACTCCTCTACCTGACCCCTCTTTCACCTTGATGCAAGCACGTGACAGAGTTGTCTGTTTAGTGCTTGATGTTTCGGGAAGCATGAGAGATGTAAGTGTAGTGTTAGACAATTCTTTTAATAGAAAACTTCAAAGTGATTTCTTATAGGAATGCTGGGTTAGCTGTTAAGTCGGTATTAATATTTAATCCCTTCTAACTAATACACACTTCTTTTTTGTAAACATTAGCATGGCTATTTATGAAACTATAATAAAATTATAGTTGCTGAATTGTTCTGAAAAAGGGAAAGTTATCCAAGAGGATAGATATGATCCAAGATGTTAAACAGGCCTTAGAAGCAGGGTTTTGTAAGACAGTTTGAAAGCAGGGAAGACGTCCTTGCTGCATCCATACATCTGGTTTGTCTTGCCATCTTCCTGTTCTGAAGCTGGCAGGAAATTGCTATCCCAAAAGCCCTACAGCAGACACTTAATGTCCAGTTGGACAGGTCTGTGGTGTGCTGCTGTCCATAAAGCAGTATGGAACATGGAACTTTGCAGCATTGCAATAATTGGTTCATTCCCTGACTGAGAGTTTGTCTTCTCCAACATCATCCACTATTTGGAAAGCCTCCACCAACTGGCACATGCAACCCTCTGGGGTTACTTCATCACTGCATTTTCTTTTTTTCTTCTTTCTTATTGTACCTTTGTCCAGCTACACTTTCAAAGGTAACTCTGGGTCATCCATCAACAGTTTGACCACTTGATCATCAAGGCAGCAAAAAGTTACGTTTTTATGTCTTTTGGCACTGTCTTAATGGCCCTCTGCCTTTTTTGCTGCTGGATAAGGATTATCAAAGAGTGGGAGTTTAAGAAAGAAGTTTAGGTGTGGGGAATCAATGTGGGAGCTGGAAACTCCCTTAAGAATATTACTTGAAGAAAGGAAGTGAGGAGCCGGGCTTCCCTAGGAATAGCAATCACTGAAAAGGGAATTACAGTGATATTGGCCTCAAGTTATCACCACAACTGAGCTCAAAATTTCTGTTATTAAGACATTTGTTAAGTGAATATTGCCCCATTTTGCAACTTTTCTTGCCACAGTTGTTAAATGAATCACCGCAGTTGATAAGTTAGTAACCCAGTTGTTAAACGAATCTGGCTTCCCCCTTGATTCTGCTTGTCAGAAGTTTGCAAAAGGTGATCACGTGACCTTGGGACACGCAAAGGTCATCAATATGAACCAGTTGCCAAGCACCTGAATGTTGATCACATGATCATGGGGATGGTGCAAAGTTCGTAACTGTGAAAAGGGGTCATAAGTCACATTTTTCAGTGCCGTTGTAACTTTGAAGAATCACCAAATGAACTGTTGTAAGTCGAGATCTGCCTGTACAAAAGCCAAGTCTTCTCCTCTTTAAGCCAGGGAAACAATACACAATTTCAAAGTTTCATACTTTCTCATCCAACTAATCACAAGTTGACCAATTCATTTAAAAAAAAATACAGGGGAACCAGAGAAGGTAGAGTTTAAGTCTCTCCCAAGCCAATCAGTTCAAAATACCATAAATGTTTAGTTATAGATCTTGAACAAGCTGTTAGAACTTTGAGATCAAGGTTGGGTTAAGGCCAACTGTTGCTGCTTTTAAATTGATTTTATCATTTGGCCAAAACAAAGGCATTTGAAATGGTTGTTCAGGCAGTATTGACAACTGACAACTTTGTCACTCTTCCCCGTTCTCCCATCTCTTTTTCTTTCTTTGCAGCATGATCGCATTGCTCGTCTCAGGCAAGCTGCAGAAGTGTTCATCCTACAAATCATCGAAACTGGTTCCTGGGTTGGAATTGTAAGGTTTCAAAGCATTGCCAGCACTACGATTGACTTGCAACAGATTGTCAGTGACAAAATACGGCAGCATCTTGTGAATTATTTGCCTACCATAGCTAATGGAGGGACTAATATTTGTGCTGGAGTGCGCCAAGGATTTCAGGTGAAAGAAAACATTCTTCCATTACTTTTATTTCTAGTTTCCCCCCCCCCCCCAAGACATAAGTTGTACAGTGAGCTGGTGCAGGTGTTTTAAGAGAAACATAAAGCAATTATATCATTCAATCATTGTTATTTTTTCAGCCTGATAAAGCTGGGTTGGCAGTATTCACAAATACCACAGCTTTAATAGATGCCTACTGAAATTAACGCACACAGACATGCGTATTTTAAAATGACAAATCTCATCATCGCAGTGATCTTTTATGAAGATCTGATGGCAATTTGATCTCTTTTTTATTTAAATTGCATTTATTATATTTATTTTGGGGGAAACTCCTGGACAGCATCCATGCCAAATTAAGATCCATCATCTCTCATCAGTGTGGAAATGAGGGACAAAAAATGCCATTCTATCAGTGGGAGCTTCTCTTCCTAATTATTAAAAAAAACAATTAAAAGTAGAATTTCCATATTAATTTTTGAGAGGTAGACTGGCATTGCAATTCTTGTTGACTGGATTAGCCTGCAGGCCAGTTTCTGGATTTGCTTTGAAGCACTTCTTACAGTGGAGTTTCAGAATTTGAAAATATTTTTATTTTATAAACAGCTCATGTACTCTTTTCATCTTTTAGTTCAGGGGTGTCAAACTGCCAGCTCACGGGCCGGACACGTCACGAAGAAACCGCGCCCACCCCATTGCCGGCAAGGGGGAAAAAGTTCCTATATGTCGCGCGACATCGTGACATCGCGAGTTTGACATGTCTGTTTAGTTGTATACTACAGGCAATTCTTGACTTACAACCACAATTGGGAACAGAACTTTTGTTGTAAGAAAGTTGTTAAGTGTCTCACACCCAATTTTATGACTTTTTTTGCCACAGTTGCTAAGCAAATTACTGCAGTTAAACGAATTATGCGGTTGTTAAGTGAATTTGGTTTCTCCTACTGACTTTGATTGTCAGAAGCCAGCTGGGAGGACGTCAAATGGTGACCACATGACCCTGGGGTGCTGCAACTGTCACAAATACAAGTTGGTTGCCAAGTGCCTGAATTCTGCTCACTTGACTGTGGAGATGCTATGATGATTATAAGTATGAAGAACGTATATAAGTCACATTTTTCAGTGCCGTTGTAACTTTGAACAGTCACTAAATGAATAGTTGTAAGTTGAAAACTACTGTGGAAAGAACTTTTTCCTATATAGAGAAGAGGAATATGCCTGCAAATGCAGATTTTATAAATCATAATTCCAAAAGATAGTCTCTGAGGAACGGAAGGATGAAAATGTGAAGTCATCTCATCTCAAGCTTGAGCTGACCTCATTAATCATGACATAAAATGTATGCAGTGTTTTAGAACTGGAGTGCCCAACCCTCAGTCCATGGACCAGTAACAGGCCGCGGCATGCCAGCAACCAATCTGCACAAACAAGGAAAGCCCCATCCACAGGATGCAGGCAACACACAAAACCACATCCCCTCTGGTCCGCGGAAAAAACTCTCTCCACGTAACCAGTCCCTGGTGCCCAAAAGGTTGGGGACCTCTGTGTTAGAAAACACAGGAATGCTTATAGTATGATAGGAGGATACAGCAAGGGATGTGGTAGGAATATTTGTAGTATCAAAATTCTGGCACTTTTTTTTCAAAGTGTATTTCATATGAATCAAGCAGCTTAGTGTTGCTCTGCTTGGGACAGATTAATAGAAGTAGGGTTAGAGGGAAAAAGAAGACAAAATAAACAAACAGAATAACAAAGTAGAAAGACGTTTTTTATTATCGCTGCTTGGAGATGTTAGGATGGCAGATTTCTTTGCAATAATACTAGTTCTGCAACAGTGGCACCCATGGCAACAGGCTGAGGGTGTGTGTATCAAACTGAAGAAAATAGCATACAACACAAAGGCCACCCCTCTTCTATATTTGTTGCAAATTAAACACACACTCAAAGGAAACAAAACTTACAACATTACAACATGACACCACAACACCGCTCTCATCAGTATAACACAAATTATAAGATCTTATGGATTTTGTCGTTCGGTAGACATTTTATATGGCAGTCCTGGCAACTACTAAAATGGAATTGCAGTGATGTACTGCTGAAAAGTAAAAAGAAAGATTCACACCAGAATAGAGCTTTAGAATAACCAAAGCAATATTGTACATGTTGTACATTGTCTTGGTTCTAAAGCCAATTGAACAGATAGAGGAAAAATAGTGAAGGATGAAGGATTCATAGCGCATCATTCCGCTGAGATTTATAATATATTTTCTCTCTTTCTTTTCTTCTGTCTCTCTCCATTCTTTCTATTTCTGACTCTATGTGATCACAGGAAGTACCTAGTCTAGCTTTTATTTCATAGGTAATGATTTCTAAGGAACGCAGCACTACTTTATGGCAGTTGAGGAAACGTGCTGTACTTTTTATTACAAATTATTTATATAATTATTCTATGAATGTTATCCAGCTCCTTCATTTGAAAGAGCATTTCATGAGTTTTATACTGCATTCCCTGTTCTGCTAATATTTTATTTTATTTATTTTTAATACAGGTGATTAGTTCAAGAAATGGAAGTACCGAAGGGGGTGAAATTGTGCTCTTGACAGATGGAGAAGATTCAGGAATAGGATCTTGCTTTAGTGAAGTTGAAAGTAGTGGATCAATAATTCACACCATTGCTTTGGGGCCAAGTGCTGCAAAAGAGCTAGAAATGCTGTCAACCATGACAGGTAAAGTAAACTATATACTTTGAAGGTCTCCAGTGTTTTGCAATAACAAATGGTGATTCAGAAAATGTGAGCTTATCCTCATAATCACTGTATGTCATGTATTCTAACTTCAGGTATTCTAAAATGATATTACAATAAGACCCAAAGAACACAGTTTCAATGCCCAAATTGTATTAGTTCTGCTTCCTTGTCCCATTCTCATTGCTCCCCCTTGTCTTTTAGATAATTTCTAAAATATGTTGTCCTGACTACATGTGAAACTGAGATCACCAAACTTTGCACAAACTCACTAACCTTATTCTGCAGTCTTGTAGCAATATTACCTTTATAGCATTGGGTGAATTTCCTTCAATCCACAATGAAAGAAGATTTAATTACAAGTTTAGGAACTTAATTTTTTTTTCTTTTGGAATGAACACCAAAAGGGTACTTCGTTTTTGAAAAGTTACAAATAAGAGTCCATATAACTTTGAAGTAAGATTTTGGAATTAGTGATAAGAATCCTTCCATGGGAAAATACTTTTGTTTTGAATTCTATTTGAAAAGAAAACCATGACAGGATGACTTTGAAAGTTGGATACTAGAGGGGACCATTATTACACTTAAAGGAGAAGAACATTTGACTTTCTAATTGAGAATGGAGGATTTTTTTTGTAACACTGGATATATTGAAGAATATTTTTGAACAATGGGCTCAGAAGTTAATTTTAAGAGTGTTTGCCTCTGTGTATAGACTATGTTTCAAAGATGTTATGAAAGAGGAACAAGTTTTAACTGACAAGATTGAGACTGAATTGAAAAGGGATTACAAATGACAGACTACAAGAATGATATGGAAAATGATATTCCATTGGACACCTTAACAATTAAAAAGAGACAAATAACAAACCAAGAGAGTGACCTGGAAAATTTTCCTATATTGGATTTACAAAAGAGGCTTATTAAAGTCTTGAACAATTTTGCGAGAAGGGATAAAAAATGAAAATAAATCAAACTCTAGAACATGATTTGAAGATCAAGATCAAGAATGTTAAAAGGAAGGAATATAATGTTGGTTTATTTGAACCAGGTTAAAATAGATATATATGTTTTTATCTTCAGTAACTCCCTAATGGACTTTTGCTGATCAAGCCCAATGACAAGCCTTTAAGGCTTGTTTATAAATAAAAGATTGGATATGGGAAGAAGAGATCATTTGTTTTATTTTAAGAGGAGGCAATAAATTATTAAAATTATTTATAGTTTTGATGAAGGGGAAAGTAATTTCTTTATATATTTCCTTTTTTATTATATTCTTATTTTTTGTTTCTTTCCTGTTTTTCTTTCTATTTTTACACTTTTTTTCTTTTCATTCTTTTTATTTTTTTAGTTTGTTTTAGTTTTTATCTTTTTAATTGTAGTTTTTAATAAATTACTTTTTTTTTTGAACAAAAATGAGATGGTCTACAAATGACATTTGGATTGTTGCTAGTGCTGCATTGCTGATCCCCAATGTAATCCCTTTAGGCATAATGCAAATATTTTAGTGAAACTAACAGATTATCTCCATCTTAATTTAGGGGGATTAAAATTTGCTGCCTTTGATAGTTTGGATGCCAATGCCCTCATTGATGTTTTCAGTGGAATTTCATCAGAAAGTGGAAATATTTATGATCAGTCAATTCAGGTTTTTGAAAGCTATTTATTTATTTTTTAAAAGCATATATTACTCGACTGTCAACAACACTGGATGATTAGTAGCTAGTGGGGTTTATATTTTCTCAAATCCAGTTGGTCCTTCCTTTGACCATTACTTTTGAATGGTTTGAAAATGGAAGCTATTTCTATCAATCTGTTGATGGCTAATTTGTCAAATGCCGTGTTTCTAAACATTCTCTTGCATGCTTAGATTTGGCTTGATCTAAAACATTTACATATTCCCAGTTGAAATTGTGATGGAACTTCTCTGTGTCTGGTGAAATTAAAGACATTTTATCACGTCTTCTGATTACCAACTGACATTCATGGATGCATTCTGCCAATCTTCTGCCTGTTTGTTCTTCATAGTGATTTTCATAGTCTTTATATTATATAACTCCCGTTTTTCATGTTTGGCTGCTGATTTTTGGATTTGTGTAGGATGCTTTGGGGTTATTGTGTTACTTTTTAGGATAACAAGACCAATGATATTGGTTAGTATTTTCTTGGAAATGTTAGTACATTTCTTATATTTCCCAGTGTCTTACAATAATTATTTAGAAATTTTTTTTTAACTTTCTCATAATTTATTGTCTACCTTACTGCCACTGTTGTCCCTGTTACTGCTTCATTATCACTGCTTGCATTATCATTAATTTTGCATTGCACTTTTTTATTATTCTTGATCATCTGATTAAACATATAGGTTTATGTATGCTTAGCTGCAGCATTCTGATAACTATATGCATGTGAATGCAGATGTTTGTATACCTGTGTATGTCAATTGTTTCTATGGTTCGTTCTCCACTTATGACCACCATTGAGCCCAAAATTTATGTTGCTAAGCAAGACAGTTGTTAAATGAATGTTGCCCCATTTTATGACCTTTCTCGTCATACTTGTTGCGAATCGCTGCAATTGAAGTTAGTAACACAGTAATTAAATGAATCTAGCTTCCCCATTAACTTCGCTTGTCAGAAAGTCACAAAAGCTTATCACATAACCCCGGGACACTGCAACTGTCATAAATATGAACCAGTTGCCAAGCATCTGATTTTGGTTATGTGACCATGGGATATTGCAACATCTGTAAGTGTGAAAAATGGTCATGAATCACTTTTTTCAATGTTATTTAACTTCAAAAGGTCACTAAATTAAGTACTGTAAGTCAAGGACCATCTGTAGACCAAAGTACGCTTTTATTATTTATTATAGTAATAAAAATATGCAATTACCTATAAAAATTACAAAGATAGATAGATAGATAGATAGATAGATAGATAGATAGATAGATAGAGATATGTTGTAATATCTGGGAGAGATGCTGCTATGTCAAGTGGTTGTTGCACTAGAAATACACAACAATATCAACGTTTATTCTTTAACCTTGTATAGCTTTGTACTCAATGTTCTTAACCTGGGTGATATCGCCCCCCCCAGGGGGCGATTTTGTTTTTCAGGGGGGTGATGGAACAAAAAGGGGCGACGCGGGGGCGAAGGAACAAAAAGGGGGCGATATGGGGGCGATGGAGCGAGAAGTTTTGGGGACACTTTTGAGACTTTTTCGTTCAGTGAATCGCTATATATCTGTCGTACAAAAACATCAGATCGCTCGCGGTGATTTAAGAATGTGATTAACAAAAATGGTTCCAGACATCAAGAAATTGGCATCAGCTCACCAAGCACAAGGCAGCCATTTTGTTCTTTGTGCTCTGTAAAACATTTTGTGTGTCTCTTTGTATTGTACTTTTTCAGCATGTACTCCAGTTCGATATTATATTTTCTTTGTCTTTTTAATCCCTTTTACAGTGTGCGTGACTATATATACTTTCCTCGAATCTTAATTTAGTTTCAGAGTTTTCCTCTTGAAATTCTTAGTTCCTGCATTGCGGTTTGTTCTTATGCCCTTTTTATATTTCTTTTTGCGTCTTAAATTTCACTTATAATTCAATCATTAAATGTTACTATTTTTCTTTTCGGTCATTTCACTTTCTTGCAATTGAATTTTGTTTTTCAGTGGTCATTACATTTAAGTGTCTTGAATAAATAAGATAATAATGAAATACATGTATCACGAAGTTTGGGAATAAAGTGACGGGTGGCACCAAAATTTTTCGCACAGTTGAGATATGGGAAAAAGACTAGAAATAAATTATTTGCATCTATATGTCCTGATGATAATTTTAAAGAAAACAAAAAAGTGTTTGCATAAATTGAAGAATTATTTCTTATGTTGTGATTGAGAGGTTATGTTGGGGGAGGGGGCGATGACAACTTCCTCATTGGCTCAAGGAGGTGATTTGTTAAAAAAGGTTAAGAACCACTACCTTAGATGATATACTCCCAAAGTAATTAAATACATTTTATTACAATTATAATATTTTCTTGCTATGTCATAATTTCTTTCTCTTTTTTTCACTTATAGCTTGAAAGTAAAAGTCAGAAAGTTAATGCCAGCAATTTTCTTAATGGTATTGTATCCATCGATCATACTGTAGGAAATGACACTTTTTTTGTACTTACATGGAGTGTAGCCAATTCTAAACCTGGAATTCTTCTGACGGATCCAAAAGGAAAAACATATAATCTTAATGATTTTGAAGTTGACAATACCAATCGCAAAACTGCTCGACTTAAGATTAATGGGACTGCCGAGGTAAAATATCTCAGCTTTCTTTCCATCAAGGAAACTGTATTATCATTAAAGTTATAATTTTAACATTCCTTTTAGTACATAGAGAAACAGGTCTACTTCAGAGTGCAAGCAATATACTAATAAAGTTTGGAATACTTTAAATTAGTACAATTACTTTATCTGCTGAAGCACCATAGGATGGTAGATGAGACAAAGAAATAACAGGGTCTCTAAAAGGAGTGGCCTGGTGTTTCAAATTTCTCTTTGCTGCAACAGTTAGCTGTGCCATTTATTTGTCCATTCATTCCATTTTGACAGTTGGGAGAAGTCATACTCTACTAATAACTTATTTCCACTGTAGTTGAAAACTGAAATTGTATTTTACCATGTTTATTGGAATTTTAGGTACTACAGCTGCAGTACATAGAAGACATTGGATTGGTGAAGACTTTCTTGAAGGGAGTCATCTTATGGGCACTCTTGTGTAGCCCCAAGATGGCATTTCATTAAGCATAGTGTTCTGGCAAAAGCCTGGTCTTCTATGGACTGTCTTCAAATATACAGTCAATTGATATTAGTGATATTGTTAATTGCAAATAGTTGCACCATCATTAAATCTTTCACACATACAGTGTGAGCCACAATCATGAAATTATGGGACCTTAGTTCATATGAAAGCCAATATGTGTACAACTGTGTGCAAAAATACCAGGGAGTGATATTTGAAAGCTGCAGAACTAAAACTGAAGACTTCACAAGTGATCATGAATTGGCTTCTGTTGTCAAATTCTTTAAAATTCCTGCACATACAGATGCCTATTTATTCTTATGAAATACTGCAGGGGTTCCCAATCTGTGAGCCATGGCCCACTACCAAGCCACGGCCTACTGACCACCGGGCCACATGGGTGGCTGGCAGATGCATAGCCCTACTTGCGTGAGCTTTGTGAGCATCATGGACGTTCATGGCCCCACTCAAGGGAGCATCGCTGTGAGTGTTGCGGGCTTTCATGGCCCCATTCGTGTCATAGGCACTCGTGGCCCCACTCATATGAGTGCCCCACTCACACAAGCAATGGGTGTTCGTGCATGCCCACATGCGCTCATGCGTTCCTCCCCCACAAAATCATCCTTTCCCCCCTCCTCCCGCTACAGGCCAAAGGGTGGGGAATTCTGAAATACAGTATGCAGAGAAATAAAAACTGCAGAGTGAATATTTAATAAAATTTTACTTCCAAATTTTGATCTGCAGGCAGGCGACTGGACTTATGCACTTTATAATACACACTCAGTGGCTCAAGTGCTATCAATCACGGTAACGTCTCGAGCAGCATCTCTAGAAGAACCTCCAGTAACTGTGAAGTCCTACATAAGCAGTGATGCAAATGCTTTTCCCAATCCAATAATTATTTATGCAGAAGTCAGTCAAGGATTTTTGCCAGTACTTGGTGCAAAAGTTACAGCCACAATTGAATCAAAGTCGGCAACTGAGGATCTAGAGCTTGTGGATAAAGGTTCTGGTAAGTGTACTTGGAAGAATGCTTGCATTATATATTTTTCATTGACTTCTCTACATAGTATTCCAAAGATATGAGCTTACCCACATGAACTCAGATATTTGTCTTACTACTGTTATTCTAAGATCATAAATAGTGATAGTGATATTTGGCCACTGGGTCTGTTGAGTTCTTTGCACCATTGCAGCTGCTTGCCTGGAAAAAATATGAACTGTATTGGATTAGGTATGGAAGGCTTGTTTGTGGCTAGTGTGCTTCTGCTCTGCTCTCCTTCTGTTGTATTGCTTTATCACACCCTTTTTAGCTTGATGTATCAAAATCTTCACCCCAAGGTATAAATAGCCAGTCGCTTAGATTATCAGCAACATTTCTACATTAATTTGGTTCAATTGTACTGAGACCGTACATTGTCCCTTTATTTATTTAACTTAAATGTAGACTTTGTCATGAGAAACGTTGAACTGGTAGAAACAAAAATTCAAAATAAAATTAATGGGAGAAATAACAGCCTCAGATCTACTAATGATACAACTTTAATGGCTAGAAGCAAGAACGACCTAAGCAATCTCTTGTTGAACATGAAAGAAGAAAATGCAAAAAATGCTCAATATTTAAACAAAACCCAATATTATGTTTACAGGCTAAGTCAATCCAGTACTTCTAGACCAGGGTTTTTCAACCAGTGGTACGAGTACCACCAGTGGTACATTGGCATCTGGCAGGTGGTACGCGACCATCCTAGAAAAGTGGTAGTGGACGAGGAGAATGAGCTGAACCAGTGGCAGCACTGCACAAGCCTGAGCAAGAGATGGCTGGAGCTGCAGGGCTGTCAGGGCTCAGCAGAAGCACCAGGATCAGCGCCAGGCTCCAGCTGGAGCTCGGCACTGATCCTGGTGCTTCTGATAAGCTCTGAAGAAGCACCACTGGAAAACAGCACTGATCCTGGCACTTCTGCTGAGCCCAGAAGCGCCGATCAACTGGAATTTATTTATTTATTTATGAGACTTATATACCGCTTTAAGTGCGAGCACTCTCTAAGCGGTGTATACCAGTAAGCAATGTATATATATATTTTACATTGCCCCCAACAATCTGGGTCCTCATTTTACCTACCCCGGAAGGATGGAAGGCTGAGTCAACCTTGAGCCGGTGAGATTTGAACCGCTGACCTGCTGAACACAGTCAGCTAAAGTGGCCTGCAGTACTGCACTCTAACTGCTGCGCCACCTCGGCTCTTTTATAATAATAATAGTAGTAAAGTTGGAAGGGACCTTGGAGGTCATCTAGTCCAACCCCCTGCTCGGGCAGGAAACCCTACACCATTTCGGACAAATGGCTGTCCAGTCTCTTCTTAAAAACTTTTGTTGCAACATCTCCAGGGTCTTGTGATTTACATTCAGATGCTTGGCAACTGATTCGTATTTATGATGGTCACAATGCCCCAGGGTCATGTGAAGTGACCAAAACCTGCTGCAACCACCCAGCAGATGGGAGGTAATAAAAACCAAACACCCCCACCCCACACCTGCTGCCAATCTGCAACAGAAATGCTCCCAGCAATGAAAACCTTGGACAGGAGGGAGAGTGCCACTGGGTGGGCAGGCAGGTGTCTTGCTCGGCTGTCGCTTGGGGGGCACTTTTTCAGTGCCATTGTAACTTCGAACAGTCACTAAGCGAACTTTTGTAAATCGAGAACTACCTGTACTTTATCACTTTTTTCCTTTTTTTTGTCATCAAGTTTTTGACACCATGCTAGGCGACTGGAGATAGTTGGATGTTGCCATATCCTAAAAGTGGTACAATGGGTGAAAAGGTTGAAAAGCCCTGATCTAGACAGAGTAGACTTCTAAGTTACATTGTGACAGGAAGGCTTCAAGTCTGACATCTTAGCAAATTATTGAAATAAAAAACAACATCCAGGTTCAGCCATAATTAACTCTAAAGTGATATAACTTTGTCAGAAAGTCAAATCCCTCAACTCTTAACCTTCTAGAAAAAAAAGAGGCTTTATTGGGGAGGGGGACTGTAGGCAGAAGTCCTGGAGAAACTGAGAAAGAAAGTGAAACAATTTTATTTATAACATTGTGAGATTCTATCATTATTTTGTTTGATATAAAGATTAGCATGTAATTATTAGAAATAATTCTCACACAATACTCAGCCCAGAAAAGTCTGGACAGAGGATGAGGGATATTTTAGCAGTTGTGGTATTCCAAGTCTTGGGAACTCCTTCATTATTCATTGATTTCAGTAGAAAAGCACAGAGATTTGGGCAAACCAAGGTACAAAAATTTACTCTGGTGAAACTCAAGGTAACATTTGTTTCTTACCTTACCATTTAATTTTCATAACATTGCTTTTCAGAGCTAGTCTTCTGAAAAATGTATATTATCTTAGGTATCTACACTTAACAAAAATATGATTATACAGGCCTGTTAGTTTGAAGTTTGGAATATATCTCCAGTGGCGGAATTCAAATATGTGAACAACCACTTCTCTGTGTGGATGCCGTTTCCGGAAGTCTGGGCCTGGGCAACAAAAAATTAGCTACTGGTTCTGCTGAACCGGTGCGAATTGGCTGAATCCCACCACTGTATATCTCTCGTGATTATTTACAGACATTTATATGCAAAAAAATCATGCATGGCATATGCCATCACTATGATATCTCTATCAGAGAAATTATATTCTGATAAACCTTTAGCTATTTTATCATTGGCTTTGAGTGGCTCACAACAGTACTCAAAATTAGCCCATCATCCCTCAAATTTAGGAACTCATAAATTATGGTCCCTACTGTCTTAGGAAATCTATGCCAATAACATTGGTGTTTAGAATCTAAGACCCAAGAATTACAGAATTGGAAAAGCCTTTGTGGAGCCATTTTGACCAACTCTAAACCTATAACAGCTATTCTTTGGTTCTGAATATAAATAACATAGAATTAAATATTTACTTCTATAAAAACAGGAATACAACTTATTTTGGGTGTCATTTCTCCATTATGCAGGTTGTTAATTTTTAATATTTTTGTTTCAAGGTGCAGATATTATCAAGAATGATGGAATCTACTCAAGATACTTCACATCATTCAAAGACAATGGTAGATACAGCATAAAGGTGCATGTCCAAGGGGGATATAGGACCAGCCGACAAACTCGCCAAAGGAATCATGCTCTATATATGCCAGGCTATGTCGACAATGGTAAAATTGATGAAAGAACAATAATTGATTGATTAATTAGATGCCATCAAGTTGTTTTGGGCTCCTGGTAGCCACATAGATTTTCTCCATCATGATCTATCACAAAGACCTAACTTGACAATAATTGAGTCCATCGACCTTGGTCCTGGTCATCTTTTTCTCTTTACTTCTATCTTTTCCAGTATTAGAGCCTCTTCCAGAGAGCTAGGTGATTGCATAATGAGTCAGAAATAGGATAATTTGAGTCTGGGGTCATTTGAGAACTCTGAATTGATTTGTTTGATGATCCATTTGTTTGTCTGCAGTATTCTTCAACATCAGAGTTCAAATACTCTTCCCATCTTGCTCCTTCAAGGTCCAACTTTCACTTCTGTAGAATATTACACGGAATATCATGGCTTACATGATTTTTTAAAATATAATTTTATTAAATATTTTGATACTTAATACAGACTAAACTAAGTGAAAAAGAATAGAATAGAAAGAAAGAAAAAGTGCAGAAAAAAAGAAAAAGAAAAAGAGAAGAATACAATAAAGAAATATATAAAGAATTTCAAGCTTCATCACAATAAGTATAAATAAATTTAATAACTCTTCACTAAAAAAAATTACAAACAGCTATTCCTTCATTTCATATCCCTTTCCTTACCTGTAAGCAAATACATAAAATATCAATTTTTCAATCCTGGGATTAGCAAAAAGTTCATAAAGGATTGCCATAGTTTTGCAAAAAAAAAAAAGTGTTATTTAACTGTGATGAAATAAACCTATTTTATATTCTTTCCTTTTACTTCTAACAGTCTTAATATTTAGTTCCATCAAATATTGTTGTAAGATTTTATTTGTCTTCAATTCTTTTTAATTCCATTGGACAGATTTTTTTTTCAAGACTTTAACAAGACTCTTTCATCAGAAAATATTTTCCAGGTCATTCTCGTGGTTTATTATTTGTATTTCCCTTTTAATTTTTAAAACTTCAGCCAATTTCTTTTCTCCTTTCAGTTCTTTCCTGTCCTGTCAGATAAAAATTTGTTCCACATCTGTCATTCTTTCATTAACAGCTTTTGGACATAGTCTATCCACAGAAGCAGACCTCCTTACTGACTCTGTTGATATTGTAGTTACAAATTCTGGCTCCATTCTCCCAAGATGTCTTTTCATGTTTTCAATATTATAATATTTTATATCATTTTGTAACTCCCAGTATTGGCCAAGAACAAAGAGCAGGCTTCTATTTTCTAACATAGTGATTTTAAAAGCTACATTAACCTTAATTTTATCACACCAGAGAAAGCCATGCCATCCAAAGTTCAAGGAATGCCATTCTAGTTTTAATATCTTATTTTTCAGCAGCGCCCACTCTTTCATCCAAACCAAACAGTAAGCTTCAAATACAATTTCAGGCATTCCCAACCTTCCTCCTTTCTTTGCAGCTTGGAGGATTTTATATTTAAGCCTTGGTAAGATGGCTAGCATAGAAATTTAATAATAAAGCCCTGAACTTTTTATTTCATCATGCAAACCTAGATGTATTTTTCTGCCATTGCTTAAATTGTACAGTTATCCCCAATACGTATTCTTTGAAACAAAAACATCATTTTAGACAGTAAATTCATTTTTATCCTAAAAATTCTTCCCAATAATGACAGTTGTAATTTCTCTCATCTTTCATATCATCTTAATTTAATTTCATGTCTTAACATATTGTAATTATTCTGAAATAACATACAATTCATATTAGTCATAGTAACTCCCAAGTATTTCACTTTTTCTTGATCTTAAAATCATTGTTCCCATTTTTTCCTCTCCATCTCCCTGTTTTTGTTAATACTTTCATTATCTAATTATTAATTTTAAATTGAGCTAATGCAGCAAAATCATTTAATTTTCCTTTAATATTTCTATTCCTTTCAAAGAATTTTCAAACATTATCAACAAATCATCAGACAACCACCCATAATTTATATATTTCCCTTTTAATTCTCATTCCAGCAGTTATTCATCTTGTTTTAATACTCCAATCAATACTTCCAAAGCTAAGATGAGTAGCAATGATTGCAGGGACATCCTTGACTTCTCTCTCTCTTTTTTTTTATTTCACCAGGCTTTTTCACTTAAAATTATTTGTGTCTTTTGCAAAGTATAAATCGATTTTACCCATGTAATAAAATTTTCACTGTTATCTTCCAAACAGGAAAGTCAGTTATCAAAGGCCTTTTCTGCATTTGGAAAGATCAAAGCAGCCTGTTTTTCAGTATTTTGTTTTCAGTATTCCAAAATTTCCAATACATTTCTAATATTATCTTTTGGGTAAAAACCCAAATTGATCTTCATTATGGAAATCAATACAATAAATAACTATAACTATAAAGGTAACGGATTCCCTGCGGATTTTACTCCCCTAGTCCTGGTCAACTATAGGGGGCAATGCTCATCTATGTTTCAAGGCCATTGAGCCAATACTGTCCTTTCTATGGTCATGTGACCAGCATGATGTCACGGAGCTCTGTTCTCTTCCTACCAAAGTGGTACCTATTTATGTACTCGCATTGCATGCTTTCGAACTGCTAGGTTGGCAGGAGCTGGAGCGAGGACGGGAGCTCGCCCCATTGCGTGGTGCTCAGGTCTTCAACCTGGGCTGCTGGCTTTGCAGCTGGCAAGCTCAGAGTCTTAACCCTGAGCCCTCTTTGCCTCTCACTGTCTGTCTCTGACTCTTTCTCTCTGTCTCTGATTTTCTCTGTCTCGGTCTCTCTCTGTCTGTCTCTGACTCTGATGCTCTCTGTGTGTCTCTGTCTGTCTGTCTGTCTGTCTGTCTGTCTATCTATCTATCTATCTATCTATCTATCTATCTATCTATCATCTATCTAATAATTATGTATCTCACAGTCCCTGATGAGTAAATAGGCATGATTGTGTGTATGTGTACAAACACACACACACACATACACACACACATACATATATACAAACAATAATATGAAAATGATTTGCTATTCTTCTTTGTAGACAACTGAAATAAGCATCAGAATAATGAGAAAATCTGGATTTTCCACTGAATGACTTTCTTAAAAACTTTTTAAAATAGGTGAAATAAAAATGAATGCACCAAGACCAGAAGCTAGTGACAATGATACCCAAACAAACCTTGGAAAATTCAGCAGAATTGCTTCAGGAGGTTCTTTTGTAATGTCAGGAGTTCATAAAAATTCTTCAGATGTCTTTCCTCCATCTCGAATCACTGATCTTGACGCAAAACTCAATGATGAGGATGAATTCCTTTTGTCATGGACTGCTCCTGGAAACGATTATGATAAAGGAAAAGGTAACATTTTCTTTCCTATGTTGGGCAGAAGAAATAATGCTAAAGGAGGAACAAAATACTACTTGTTACTAGCTCCCAAACTTAATTCTTTATGTAATTTTCCTTACCAGATAAAATTAGGTGAATGCAGTCTAATTTATCACACACACACACAGTGCTTTTGGTTTAAATGAGATGCATTTGCCTTAGAATATGCCCCAGAACCCTCTGTGAGTAGTTGCAAAGATTTCCCTGACAAAGATGTCTGTTCCCAAGTGTTATGGAGAATTTGTCTTAATGTCTCTTTGAATATTTTCGTTTTTTTTGTTTTTTGCAGCTGAAAAATATGAAATAAAAATGAGTGAAAATCCTGTGGAATTAAGAGATACTTTTGAAAGTGCTGCTTCTGTCAACACATCCGATTTGAAACCTGATGTTGCTGGGGCCAAACAGTCATTTCAGCATAAGATGAAAAACTTCACAAAACAAAATGGCACTGCAGTTTATTTTGCCATTCGTGCCAATGATGGCACCAATTTTGGGGAAGTATCTAATATAGCAAGAGCAGTTGTACTTCTTCCTCCACTGGTCCCTACTCCCACACCAACCAATCCTAGCTCTGCTCCTCCCACGAATCATTCCACCATAAAAACCACTTCTAGTGTGACAGCTCCCAATGATGAAACCCATGTGATAAATATTGTGACTCTAATTATTATCATAGTGTGCATTACTCTAATTATTATTTGTGCTTGTATATGTATAACTATTTGTGTTTTACATAAGCAAAAAAAGCCAAATCCTGAAACTGCAATGTAAGAAGAAGTAAGAACTCAAAACTATAGACTGGAAGGAGAAATAAAGATGATTTGTGCTAGTTACATAGACTTCTAACAACCTGTATATGTATATTTAGAAGACCAGTTAATAGACACAGATTTCTGCAATATCATTGATTTTAATTTTTAAAAGAAGAAATTGAATCACTCTCCTCAGCCTATAGAGGAAGAGGTGAGTCAAAATAAAAACAAGTTAGAAAGACTTATCAGCCTTGTATTTTAAATTTTATAAGCCACCTGGAGTCACCTACTATTTGGGGGAAAATATATAAATTTGTTTAATAAATAAATACAGAAACAAATAATTTCCCCATACTTTCATTACTCAAACAAAGGTGAATTTCCTGTGCAAATACCCCATTTACCTATTCTTTCTTTTACCTTTACTGTAAATTTAACATAAAGCCAATCTGAAATTGTTTAGCAATCTCAATGTCAGCACTAATTTCATCTACACTGATTTACAAGAATAAGTTTTATGTTAGGTTTAGGTTACAATGGTATTACCATAATAGAGTCTGATTCAGCTTTACACTGAAGTATTTTTTTTCTGAGATGAGAAAGATTAAATTAAATTAACTTTCTGCAGGCAGAATTTAAATGGGTTGAACATGTTGAATGGTTAAAGTGGCAACTTTTTAGGAATTATGGTTTTTACAGTCCAAGAAATCTGAAAGCATCAAAGTGGGGATTTGGGTTGAAATAATTATAGAACAATAGGATTTTCACCTAATTTAGTAAAATTGCCAAATACCCAATCATTATATTGCACCATAATGTTCTATACTACAACGTTAACTATAGTTGAAGATAGCTTACCAATTCTAATGGCTATCAACAGGGACCAAATTGCTTCTCCTAAATATTAGTAAAATAAGTATCAAGACTCATGACAAAATAATGTTTTTCATACATGGTAAGGAGAGATTTAGAAGAATCATATGAGACAAAAAATATTGTTCCATCTGAACAATTTTACTTATTTTCATTTATTTATGAATACATTTATTCAATGTATACAGTTTCAGTTCCATGAATCTGGGCAGCTAACCAGGATTTTTAAAAAATAATAACAAAAAAAATCACTAAATAATATATAGAGTGGCCTAGAAAACCAGCCAACTCATCAATCAACATTTGTTCCAGTCTTTCTGAAGTTTAATAAAGAAGAAATTTGATTGATTCCCAAACGTTCACTATTGTGTGTGCAACTGCTACATTAAATAGGTTTTGGTGCATTTGTGAAGTGTATTGAACTGTTTGTTTTTGTAGGTATAATTCAAAATTATGGGCGAGATGAAAATGGATGGGGATTTAATAATGTACTTATGATTGCCATCCTGACTTTTCTTTTTTTTTTTTATTAAAAAGTTTTATAAATTTTACAGAAAATAAAAGACAATACAAAAACAAAAAACAACATATACAAATAAAAAACAAACATTACCCAACAAAACCCCCCTTCCCCCACCCCTACCCAACCCCCCCTTCCCCCCCCAGGGCCTCCCAGAGCAGAATATAGGCTTAATTAAAAAAAAGTTAAAAAAAATTATATTTGTAAAAAAGAGAATATAAAATAGAAAATATATATATATATATAGAGAGTTAAAAATTATGAAAAAACTATATAGTATTTTTTTATATCAAATTTAAATTGTATGAATTTTATCCATTTATCCCAAACAGCAAGAAATTTCTCTTGCGTTTGTCCCTTTAAGAAAGCCGAAATCTTTGCCATTTCCGCCAAATGAGACACTTTAAGAAACCATTCCTGCAATGTAGGCAAAGATTCCTTCTTCCAATATTGTCCTACACCATCCTGACTTTTCTGACACCCCCTGGAAGATACCCTTGTATTTGAATCCCCAATTTCTCCTTTGAAAATAACACCCTTGAATTTGATGGGCCAAAATATTTTCTGACTTCCCGTTGACAGACTTATCAGACACCATTGCACATAATCCTCGACTTACGACCACAATTGAGCCCAACATTTATGTTGCTAAGTGAGACATTTGTTAAGTGAGTTTTGCCCCATTTTATCACTTTCCTTGCAACAGTTGTTAAGTGAATCACTGCAGATGTTCAATTAGTAACACAGTTATTAACTGAATCTGGCTTCCCCATTGACTTTAATTTAAGAAGGTCTCAAAAGCTGATCACATGACCCCAGGACACTGCAACCGTCATAAATATGAGTCAGTTGCCAAGTATCTGAATTTTGATCACGTGACCATGGGGATGCTGCAACGGTTGTAAGAGTGAAAAATGATCGTCATTTTTTTTTCAATGCTGTTGTAATTTCAGTCACTAAATGAACTGTTGTAATCAAGGACTACCTGTCCAGCAACACACTGATTCACTTTGAGAAAACTATATACAAGTCTTTATCTGAGGTCTCCATTCCCACCAGGATTCATTTTTATGCCCTCTTGATCATGCTTTATCAAATACTTTTTTGTCAGTCCTAGTGAAGAGTAATCTTCAAGCAAGTGGTTCATCATCTAGATCAGGGGTATCAAACTGCTGGCCCATGGGCCGGATGTGTCATGCAGAAACCGCGCCCACCCCATTGCTGGCAATGGCAAAACTGTCCCAATACATTGCGCGATGTCACGTGACATCGCAAGTTTGACATGTCTGATCTAGATAATTGACAACATGATTAAATGCTTTAAAAGAAAAAAAATGAGTGAGATAAGTCTATTCTGGAGAAAATTTGGGGCAGTGGTTAAGGGTTGGATTAGAAATGAGGAGACACAGATTTACATCAATCCTCAGTCATAAAAGCTCATTGGGTGACTTTTGGCCAATTATTTTCTCAGCCCAACCTACCTCATAGGGTTATTATTTTGGAGAAAAAATAGAGGCAGCTGTGCTATGCATCCACCTTGAGTTCCTGAAGAAAAGGCAGGATATAAATCTAAGAAACAATACTGCCTAAAATATCTTTTAAATTTATCTTTTTCTGGGAAACCTTTGGAAGAAGGGATCTGCCAGTGAGATTTTCAGTGGGTTCTCTGCCAGGTTGTAATAATCAGTTTTGTCGTGCTTCAAGATACATTGCAAGAAAAACATCAAGAAATGATCCCCAGCAACCAACACAGATAGAACCTGGAATTAAAGAAAAAAATTGCTGATTTTGCAACAAAGTCTTAATGTGGGAATGCTCAAATTCTAAATTAGAAGCCACTATTAAAAGTTTAGGGGGGCATGGTGGCAGAGGAGTTAAGATCTGGGCTTGTTGACCAGAGGGTTGGTAGTTCAAGATCTAAGTACCATAGTGACAGAGGGAATTTCCATTACTTGCCCCAGTTCCTGCTAATCTAGCAGTCTGAAGCATGTAAATGCAAATAGATAAATAGGTACCACTTCAGTGGAAAGTTAACAGTGTTCCATATGCCTTCAGCATAGAATCATGCCAGCCATATGACCATGGAAGTTTCTTTGGACAATGCTGGTTCTCTCGGCTATGAATCGGAGATGAGCATTGCCCCCAAGAGTCAGACAAGACTGGCAGGGGAAAACCTTTATTTTTATTAGACATTTAGCATTTCTCTCCTTCCTCTTGGAGATAATGACTCACTTTTTGAAATTATCTTTCCTTCAGATGGGAAACTTGAGGAGAAAAATAAAAGGCCTCTTTCCAATCACATTTCTCTGAGCTAAGGACTTTCCACTTTCCAGGTGGTTAATTAGTTTATGACAGAAGTAGTTTGGTGCAATGATTAAATTATTAGGCTAGGAGGCAGGGGACCCCGAGTTCTAGTGCTGACTGAGGCAGAAAACCAGCTGGGTGACCTTGGGCCAGTCGTCTCTGTCAGCCCCAGAAAGGAGGCAACTGCAAACCACTTCCAAATCTTGCCAAGAAAACTGCACGCAGTCATTAGGAGTCAAAAAAATGATTTGAGAATCTGGAGGCGAGGGAGGGGACAGGCCAATAGAAACGGAGGCATTATTTTATAAGGCCTTAACCCTGGAACTCTTCCCATCTAGCAGCCGGAATCCAACTTTCAAGCCAAATGGGAGTGACATTTTCAGGTTGTGGAAGGTAAGAATACAGTCCCTCTCTCACTGCTTGCTCTGTGTGCAGCAAAGCAATGCTAGGACAGATCATTTGCCCTTCCTAACAGTGGGTCTCCTGTGGGAAAACTAGGTCAGTTTACATTTCGCTTACAGTTTTCTCCAAATGCTCCTGTCTGTTTTTCTCCTTCCCCTGCCCTTGTTAATTCATTCTTCTTAGGAGATAAGGTTGACCCAGCTATTACCGTAGATAGGCGAAGCCAGCCACCTGCCTGCTTCGAGCTACTTGTATATTTAATTTATATATTTTTTTCATTTAGGGCTTCTAGGATTACATCTAGTAGAACTGTCTGCAGTTTCAATTCAATATTTATTTTTAGTCACCACATGTAGTAAAATATTTCTTCTTTATTGTGGGATTTCCAACATTTTTTTTTGTTATATGCTTTGGCTATCTTAGCAATCATCGTTGGATCATGTTATCATCTAAATCTAAAGCAGAGGTTCCCAACTCCCGAGTCTCAGATTAGGACTACTCCGCAACCTGCAAACTCAAGGCTGGTCTGTAAAGGAGGCCTGCTCCTGGAAGGCTTCCTGGAACAATCAAAGGGCCACTTTAAGCGGCCTGAGTTGGTGATCTGTTCTGCAATCAGCACTTGCTCATGTTTTTGATACCTTAATTGAATTCCTCTACCTCCTTTTAGCAATAATATAGTCCATTTTATTTCTATATGCTCCATCTGATGATATCCTTCTATAGATGCATTATTCTCGTTGTTTCAAGACAGTGTTAGCTATGAAAAAATCATAATGGCAGAAGTTGATAACATCTGTTTTTATTATAAATGACAGCTTGCGGCTTAGTGTCATACATAAACTCATTTTCAATTCGCTTTTCTTGATGAAATTGAGCTACTGTTAAATATTGGTGTAAATTTATCTTGTAACTCCCCAAAATGTTAAATTGATTGCTTGCAGTATGCTGACATCTAGTGGAGTTACAATATTATTTTTATTTTACCTGTTTATATCCTGTCTGATAGATTCTATTTGCTCTAATACCCTTTTTTGCATTGTGGAAATGTGCTGGTGAAACTTTCACCATGTGCATCACTGACCACACCTCGATTTTGGGGAAAGAAGTCCAAGTGTGAATGTAGAAAATGGATCTTCAGTGACATGCTGCACTTCATAGAGCTGTAGGCTGTAAGAAGTTTGTCAACCAGCTGAACGTAATTTGGTACTCAGTGGTTGCCAAGAAAATTCTCAATGCCATCCTTGAATGCTTTCCAGGCAATTTTCTCGGACTTCACTAACAGATTTTCAAACCACTTGTCACTGATGATGTATCTGAATCATGAACCAAGAAAAATGCCTTTGTTCATCTTGGAATTAGTTATTCTTAGCAACATGTGTCTCAAATAACAAAAACCTTCACCTTTCTAGTTCATCACTTTCAGAATTTTTTTCATTAGAGTTTTATGTGAAGCAGAGGCAAAAATATATTTGTCCAGTCAACAAGTGGTTCATTTGCCATGTTTTTCTGTCCTGAAACCAAATTCGTTTGGAATGATCATTTCTTCATGACTCTCTTGCATGACTATCCCATTCACATAAATAGCAACAATACTTGGTCCATCTGAAATGTATTCCAAACAGCAGAGCTGCTACTTTTAGATCTCTTATATTTGATCTACTGGATATGCATCAACCAACAGTTTCATGTTTTTGTATGTTTCTTTCATGTGTGCAGCAGAGCAAACAGGTATTTGAAGGATATATATGCCATTGTGTAACAACAGAAGCATTTTATAAAACGTTATATGATAAATTAAATTACAAGCTATTTTCATGATTAGCAGCCAAAAATCTATAGGATACAGCCAAAAGTGTTCAGGAAGCAAAATCGTTGTTGTCCAGAACTCTGTTGGGAAATCTAGAGCAATGAAACTAGAGGAAGAGTAGAGGAAAAACAGGCAGGTGAATTCAAAAATTAGTTTTAACAGGTTTTATTAAAATAGTTTAAATAGCTTTTACTAACAGCCTGGTGAAAACGTGATCAATGAGATAATACTTTGCAGATAAAATTGTTCATGTCCATGGTAGTTTAGAGTTGATAATGGGTACTATATTGACCGGTGTACCAGCAAACTGCATTTCCTTAGGTAAATTTTGAGTACTGAAAATTACAAACTGACAAGAATATGGGTTTTTTTAAAATCCCACAGTGATTAATATCTTTCAAACCATCTTGTCTCTATTACTAAATTAACAGGTGAGGCACTTTAGTATAGTGCTTAAGGGGCCAAGCTAGAGACTAGGAGATTATGAGTTCTAGTCCTGCCTAAGGCACAAAGCTGACTAGGTAATTTTGCCCCAGTCATTCCCTCTCAGTCCTAGGAAGAAGGCAATGGCAAACCACTTCTGAAATCTTGCCAAGAACACTGCAGAGTTTTGTCCAGGTAGCTGCCAGGAGTCAATGATGACTTGAAGAAATGCACATAATTTTGTAACCTTCCCAGATTGTATAATAAATTCCAAATAGGAATTCCAAAAGGCTATTTGAAGATTCTGAGATATAATGGGCACTTTTTACTATATTGGCAATTTACAGTGTTATATATACACACACTTCTGTTCAGGGTGCAAAAATACCTTTTTATGAATTTACGATACGTGCCACATTGTCCGAAACATATAAAAACAGGTAATCGTTGTTCAATGGCGAGAAAAAGGCACGTAGCAAGTACTCAAGGGCAGTCACATAAATTTATTATGACACTTATTTTTGGAGTAGATGTTCCTTCTGATCTTGCTCCCGTTTTGAGGATAGTGACCCTGTTGTGTTCTGAAATAAGCATGACCGGTGCTTGACGAACGAACACAAAACTCTCTCAAATCAAGCAGTAATTACCGAGACAAGAAAAAAGAAAAGATCCACGTAGCTACTCCACAGGCACCACCTCTCAAGAGATTAGTACGTGACCGGCCGCTCTAATCTACACTGCAGCCGCTGAAAGAAGGATCACGCCCAAACTCAGAAGGACGTTCCCGTAAGATCCTCTTAGGAAGCTCGTCATCCGGGCTGGGGGCGGAGCGTAGTTAGCTCTTGGCTCCGCCCATGAGATTCGATGCCTCCAATTGGCTGCTGGTTTCGTAACTCCTGGCCAAGGCCCTGTTGCGGCTGGCACCACCCTTCTACTGCCGCCGCCTTCGCCGGCGCTTCCAGAGGGAGGAAGTGTGGTGGGCGGCAAGCCGCCGCCGCCGTCAACGACACCCCCTGAATTGGTCGGCTCCCGCTGAAAGATGAATATTATGGATTTCAATGTGAAGAAGCTGGCGGCTGACGCTGGCACGTTCCTCAGCCGAGCCGTACAGGTAAGGCACGGAGAAGGCAGCCCCAAGTGCTGAGGAAGCGAAGCCTCGCTTTCCCTTCTTCCAAAGAGGGACTTCTTGTCTTGTCCCTCTTGAGAGAGAAGCTCGGGCGTTGGCCAGGCCGTTGCTGCACGCGCGAGACCCCACCCCTCCCACCCCTCCTCAACTGGCACGGAAGCCAGCCTCTCTGGCATTGGGGCAACAACCGGTTGATCAGGAGCCAAATTAGGCCTCGTCTCCTCTCCTCTTCCTCCTCCTCTCCCAGCTCTGCCCAGGACCGGGCTGTCTGCATATATTATAGGCGAAGAAGGCAGAGACGTGGATAAAGGGGGGAGGGGGAGGGGGGCTGTTTTTGTGCCCCTTGCCCTACGGCTTCCCTCCCAGCCCCCTGGGTCGGTGGGGAGCGCAGCTGGCTTTAAATGCAGCTGTTCCGCAGCTCCAGCGCTTACGCAAGGTCTCTCTCTCTCTCTCTCTCTCTCTCTCTCTCTCTTCCCCCCCCCCAGCCTTTCCCCTCCCTCGTTGGGTTTTCTTTTATTTCGCTTCCGTTTATCAGCCTTTCTCCCCGTCTCCCGGGGGCGTTTCCCGCGAAAGGGAGGAAGGTAGGGGGATGAAGATGCAAAAACCCCGAATGGCCCTAGACAACGTGAAGAGTTTATAAATGCTGGGACTTTCAGGACTAACGGAGCGAAAATCTTTTTTTTTTTTTTTAAACCCCCACACCAGGACAACTAACGCTTTGAAATCCTCAAGCCAGTCACAATAATAAAACAGCAGCCGGTGCGGATGGTTTGAAAAAGGGCTTGGACAGATTGATGGAAGATTTGGGAGGGCGGGTGGTTTTGGGGGTGGTCGTGACTGATATTGTTCGCTGCTTGCCACCCTTGTAAAAATCAAAAGCTGATGTCTTCTGTACAGGACCAGATTTTGGGAATTAAAATGTTGCTATCAAGCTTTCAAAGTCCACCCCGTTGGCTACTTTGTGACACAAAATGCTGGACTAGGTGGCCCTGTAGTTTGATCCAGCAAGATTCTTGTGCCATTATTGTTTCACTTAAATAGCTGTAGACAAATAATTACAAACCATTAGGATAACTGTAGTGACCCTTCTTAGAGGTCGGCATTTATGCTGTCATTTTGGAAGAGTACAGTACAAGTAAAATAATATATAAGAAAACAAAGTGAGGCCTCTTTCTTGCTCTCCATGTGTCTCCTTTCAAAAACAAAAATAAAGGATGTGCTCTCAGCTATTATTAGCTTAAGAGCAAGAGTGACTTCATACAACTGACTCTGCACATTGAGATTATGTTTAACTTTGCAAAAAGAAAATGCCTGTCTACAAAGTCTTACGGTGCCTGATATATTATCAATTTTGTTGATTTCTTCTCATTTTAAAGAAAATGTAAGGCTATTCCTGTTAATATACAGCATGGTAGTGAGAGGAATTGTGCCCTTCTACTTAACATTCACTTTTTTATATTTGCATTATTGGTGGATTGGATGAATTTGTGACTTTAGAGTATATTTTGTTCCTAACTACACTTACATAAGACTTCCTGTGTTATGCAATTGTTGCCAAAGCACAAAGTTAGGGGATATCTTTAAGATTTTCCAGTTAATAACAGGATGGCATTTCATTTCTTGGTAAAATTCTGCTAGTTGCATAATTGCCAATACCACTAAAACCATATTCATCTTCTCTTCTGCCCCACTCCTAAAGTGCTGTTATATATTAATTTTAAACCATCCATTTGACTTTTATGGTAGGTTTTCTGATCTTGTCTCTTAATTATAAACTAATGAGGAGAAACAAAGTAATAGTAAAGTGTTCTTTAAGTTGTTGGTATCACCATGTCTGTATCGTTTTCTGAGCACCAATAAGAGAATGGTTTGCCTTCTGCCAAGATTGATTTTCCAGTCTAGTCTATAGTTCCAAAGTTTTTTAGAGGCTCTCTATCCAGGTCCTAAACAGAATTGACCTGCTTTATGTTTTGAGTTGAGCTTTCATTGGCTAAAGACTGTTTGTTTATTGATAATATTTATTGATGTTTATAGTTATTTATGCAAATCTCAATTATTATATAATATTAATATTAATAGTTATATATAGGATAGAATAACATAATGAAAAGTATACTGATGTCATAGTGGTGCACCCCATTTTGTAACATACCTCTCCCTGGGAGGTATGTATGACCCCAATGTTGTTGGCATTTCATGCCCAGGTCAATTTTATTCCAGCATATGTTGAGCCCTGAGTTTAGTTGGATTTGTTTTGTGGATATTCAATCAATTTATTGTTTAATGTTTAATATTATTTTAACTAATTTTATATTGGTTTTTGATTTTGTTTGCTTTGACTTTGTACCTTGTCCAGAATTCCTTAGGAATAGCCTAGGCGATGTATATTGTAAAGTAAATATGCTAAAAGAACATTTAAGACTAAGTCAAGTCATTTCCAAACTACCAAATATTTTGGCTGAATTTTTCACAAGTAAGGAACAGTGTAGGGGAGAGAGAGACAGATTGCTGCTTGACATATAGATGTCTTTATGTGAGGGATATTCCTAAAAGTTCTCTTGTTGATGGCTTTATGATCTGTTTATAATCTTTAAAATGATATGTGGAACAGAATTTTATATTAGAAGTCTACTCCTTTGGCGTCTTCTTTCTCCTTCCCGTGTGACCATTGCTACTAACTATCCTGCGCAGTGGTTTTACATGTTTGTTTTCATAATATATACTGTATTTTTATTTACAATTGTTTAGATTGCAATGAACTCAGAAGAGAGAGGGAGGAAGACAGGCAATATGCACAACAGATGTTTGTTCAGTTGGTCTCTTGCTTTCTCCATTCAGGCCATCGACACTAATTGCCCTTTACGAAATCTCCAAGTTTATTAAATTTTTATTTATAGATATATGTAGTATTGAAAGCTGCTAGGAGATAAAGCAATACCAAGCGGATTGCATTGCATATCCCAATCTCACTAGAGATCATCCACAAGCATCTATATACTACTAAAAGTATTGTGTTTGTTTGATTGTAATCTTCAATTGGGTGAAACAGTGCAGCATAGGGCACAGATTTTTGAATCAACGTACCTCAAATGGGCTAATCTACAGAATGTGTACCAAATGTAGGACCCTTGACTCCTGCAAGGTTAAAATTTTGAAATTTTGCTAAGTTGTGGCTGCTACACTCAGCCATGATCATGTGATCATCATTTCCTGCCAGTTTTCTACAAGGAAAATCAATGAGGAAGTCAGAAGTCACTCCCATTGTTTTTCTGCCCAGCTCATGGTCGTTCTGTTTCTCTGATTAGGTAAGGAAATACCTCTGAAATGAAGACCCAATGGGTAACAGATTGTCTTGTAATCTTGGTGGCACTCCTAGGTCTGAACTAAGTTAGAATTAGTCTAAAAAAATCTGTTTCCCCAGGGCTTTCTGCAACTGTTGCCCCAAAATCTTCTCAACAATTTTCCTTAGAAAGGGTTGGTTGGAGACCAATCAATAGTTGTCCTGAATTTCCAGTCTGAGCTATGGTTTCTTGAGAAAGAGGTATATCACCATCTCCTCCTAAACAGGGGACATTGTCTACTATCTCAAGGATGTACTGAGCAGTGTACCAACCCATCACTGAGTCATGATTTGGAGTCTTTTGCCAATCAGAAATGGAAAGGATCCAGATTACAGACATCCTATTCCCATTCTTCTAGCTAATTGCTAAAGATTAATATAAATAAAAGTTAACATTTTTCATAAATGCCAATGTTTCTTAAATTACTTAATAGGCTACAGTACTTCCATGTACTTTCCTCTATTTTAAGAACTACATTTCTTCATATGTAGTTTGTTCATTGGCGCTGGGATGAGAACAAACAAAACTATCTTCTAATTAAGAGATCCTATGATGCTTGTCTTATGATGCTGACTTATTCACTTTTAAAATTAATGAAAAAAAATTAACTGTTTCATTTTGCATTTTCTTGGCTACAAATAAATATATTTTTGATCTGTGTTAAACTATTTCTATAGGCTCCAATAATTTTCATTTTAGTAGGTCATCATAATAGTAATGCTGTTGTCGATTTATATGTTATGGTGGTATTGTTATCATGAATTAGATATTTGACTATATACTTCTCTACCTTCTTCCATGATTGTATGCAAAAGAAATTGTATTACTGGTCCATAAAATGTATATCACATTGTCTTTTGAAATTGCATAAATTCATATCTCTGTCAAGTAATATTCATTAATAAAACTTGCATACTGGAGATTCTACCCAACATTCTCATGCAGTGTTTTATTTACACATTGCATAACATCAAATACTCACCATAACTGTAGCATACAGCACTTCTTAAGCATTCATGTGATTTCACAAAGCAATAAAGCAATATTTAAAGATATCTCTAAATCTCAAATTTTTGAGAGATTAATCATAATCTTAAACATCAACTTTTGTTTATTATTTGGTATTGATTGGAATGTCATGTAGAGCCAATTTTCAGGAATATTTTATTTTTTAGATTATTTTTATCCCACCTTGATTACTTTATAAGTAATTCAAGACAGCGAACATACATAATACTTCTTCTTCCTCCTATTTTCTCTACAACAATAACCCTGTGAAGTAGATTGGAGTGAGAGAGAGAGTGTAATTGAACCAAAGTCAACAGCCAGCGTTCATGCTTAAACATGGGCTAGAACTCACCTTAATTACTACACCAACCTGTTCAGAAAATAAATAGTGATCAAGCGCCTGTTGTGAAAGAGAGGTCATAGGGATATGTATGCTATTCCATTTTAGTAAAGAAGCTGGATCAACATGCTTGAGCATTTCCTAAATGTGAACCTAGTTCTCTAAAGTAGTTCTCTAAAGAACTACAGTACACTCTTTAGAGAGAGTGTAGTTCTAACTTGAATAATCTGAACAATATCTACATAAACCACCAAAGTCATTCCAGGATAAACGTTCAATTTACAGAACACAAAAAAAGATAAATTGCTTTTAATTAATTAATTTAGCCATATAATTCCAGAGACAGTATGTATTTTACAATTACTGTAAAATTTAATTTATTTATTAAATTTATTCACCACCTATCTCGCTGTCAAGCAACTCTGGGTACAACATCCGAAAAGTACCCATCATTGATGATGAAAGAATTAAAATGATATATGTTCTTTTAGCATAAGCACATAATGTGGTGTCAAATGATAATTTAGGAGGGCCTCTTTTCTGAAATCAGTCCTTAGAAATGGAGTCACGATGTTCTGCCTCATACTTACAAACTAAACTGGAAGGATACCATGTGGTTAATGGTACTGAAAGCTGTTAAGAGACTTAGGGAAACTATTCCAGCTACACCCTGCGTGACCTTTTCTACAGATCATCTGTCAGGCTGACAAAGATAGCTTGTGATAGATTGCAAAGGATAACGAATTTCAGGAATTGCATAGTCATTGCTTGCTTAAACATGTTACTGAAGGAAGGCTTTTCATCAAGGATGCAAACCCTTAGTAGCCAGTCATTATTTCTTCCTACATTGTTGCCCCTTCCCCTCAAGTTCTGAAGCTGTGAGGAGGAAAGGTTTTTTCATTTAACACAGAACTTGAAAAACCCTGTGTCAGACTACTGTACATGGGAATGCCTACAACCTATTGGTGGGAAAGGAAGGGATGTTCAATAATGCTGAGGCTGAGGCAAACAGCTTCTGGGATCAAGTAATATATCTCCAGGCTACCTGAGGCACCATCTAAGCCAATGGGATTGGCTCGTCCCACTTGCAGAGATTTAGAAGAGCCTCCTCTGCTGCACCCTCCCTCTGGAGCATCATATATCCTCTGTAAGATCTGCACCCACTCTTTTGATCTCCCATTAAAGCAGTGGTTCTCAACCTTTTTAATGCCGTGACCCCCGACCGGTCATAAGTCGAGGACTACTCAACCGGTCGTAAGTCGAGGACTACTCAACTGGTGCAGCACCGTTTGCAGAATGGGACTTTTGGCGGGCTCAGCAGGGCAGAGACAGCCTGGACAATTCCTATTGGCTTTCAAAAGCCAATAAAAGGAGTAGCACAGCTAAGGAAAAGGGGGAAAAAATGGCGGACTGCGTTGTTTGGCGATCCCGTGAAATGGTCGTTCGACCCCAAATGGGATCCCGACCACAGGTTGAGAACCACTGCATTAAAGCCTTAAAACCTGGTTCTCCTATTGGGCTGGGGCCTGGATGGGGATATGTTATTCTAGAGGTGGTTACCAGATTAGAAGATTCCACCTCCACTCTATTGTATGCCTCTCCACTAGCTTCGCTATTGCTTTGTTAATTTTATTGTATTTATTATCTTGCTGTTTCAATCTTTTATAATATTACTGTAAGCCACCCAGAATCGCATGGCAGAAAAATGGGCGGTGAATAAATTTAATAAATACAGTAAAATAAATGCATATATACCAATATATATGCTTTTGTTTAATCATTGTAGTTTACAGAAGAGAAACTTGGGCAAGCAGAGAAGACGGAATTGGATGCTCACCTAGAAAATCTTTTGTGTAAGGCAGATTGTACAAAACAATGGACAGAAAAGATTATGAAACAGACAGAAGTGTTGTTGCAACCCAATCCAAGTAAGAGCAAAACTTTATTTGTCTTTTGCCATTAACTGATTTGCATTTTGATAAGTTCTATATGCATATATAATGTAACCTGAATTATTAACTTCAGAGAAACTAGCATTTAACTCTTCATGAATCCACATGCCATCTTTCAGTTGTTTTATTATGTATAAATTATGCAATAATTCTAGAACTTAAAATGTTAATTATAACTATAAGCTTACAAATTTGCAAAGCAAGTTGATTCAAAATAAATACCAAACTTGTAATATCTTAAGTGACTAGGATGGAATAAAATTGATAGTATAACTCTCTGAATGTCAGAAATTCAAGATTTGTTGAAGCAGAAATAACCAACTGATTATTCAAAGATTTATGCTGCTTTAATGTAACTAAACTTAATTCAGTTCTACAGTTCTGAAAATTGATTTCTTAAAAGCTTTTAATATGCTTGGGGTGAGACCTCATATACACATTTTTAAAAAAAGCTTACACCCCAGCTTTCATAGAGTAGCTCAAGGCAGCATTTAGCACTCTTTTCCTCCATTTATTCCTCACAGCATCAACCCTTTCAGACAGGATGGGCTGAGAGAATGTGACCAGCCCAAAGTAAGCCAGTGAACTTCTTTCATTGAGGGAGAACTTTAACCTGGTCTTTCTTCCATCCCTTTCCTAATGTGACATTCTAACTGTCACATTGTATTGCCCTTCAGCAATAATTTATTTGATATTATTATTATTACAGGGGCACAATGGCTAGTGGTTAAAGACATTGAGCTTGTCAGCTGAAAAGCTGACAGCCTGGGTTTGAGACCGAGCCCTGCATGACAGGGTAAGCTCCCATTTTTGCCCTAGCTCCTGCACACCTAGCAATTCGAAAGCATGCAAATGTGAGCAGATAAGTAGCTACCACTTCTGTAGGGCAGTAACTATGTTCTGTGGGCGTATAGTCATGCTGGCCACATGATGCTGGAAAGAGTCTTCAGACAACTCTAGCTCCTTCAGAGATGAGCACCGTCTCTTACAGTTGGACATGACTGGACAGAGGAAAACTTTACCATTACCTTTATTATTATTACAAAATATACAAGTTTGGTTGTATAGATAGTCCTCAAGTTACAATGGTAATTGGGACCAAGATTTCCATTGTTAAGTTATATGGTCATAAAGTATGTTATGTGACCACATTGCTTAACAGTGACAATCCCAGAAGTCCCAGTTGCTCTTGTAACCCCATATTGTGTAGATCAGAGATCCCCAAACTTTTGGGCATCTGGGACTGGTTCTGTGGAGAGAGGTTTTTCTGTGGACCGGAGGGTGCGTGGTTTTGTATGCTGCATGCATCCTGCGGATGGGACTTTGCTTGTTTGTGTGGACCGGTTGCTGGTATGCCGTGGCCCAGTATTGGTCCACGGACTGGGGGTTGGGGATCCCTGATGTAGGTCATTAAATAGGAAGATGTGGGAGTCCTAGGCAGATAATGCAGGGGAGAGCACGGTTGCCATGGGGGAGAGGCAGGTGCTACCCAGTGAATGTGTGGCTAGTGAGGGTGCTGCAGGTAGACGCTACAGCAGGGTCCCCAACCTCCGGTCCGTGGACCAGTACTGGGCTGTGGCATGCCAGTAGTCGGGCTGCACAAACAAGGAAAGCCCCATCCACAGGGTGCAGGCAGCACACACCAGCCTCTCTGGTCCATGGAAAAACCTCTCTTCTGGTACTGGGGACCGCTGCACTACAGAGTGAGGGTGGATGAAAAAATAGCAGGAGTGACTTCCGATTTCCTGTCAGCTTCACCATTCACTTTGTTTGTAGGAAGCTGGCAGAAAACATCAGAAATTACAATCATGGAGCATGGCTCCAAATTGCAAGCCAGCTACCCAGACATCCAGATTACATGACTATTGGGACGCTGCATTGGCTGTTTTTCCAATAATTGGACATAAATCTCATTTGTTCAGTGCTGTAGTAGCTGTGAATATTTGCTGAATGATTGGCTGTAACCCAGTATCAGCCTCCCAAGTAGACCAGACAGGAAATATGACAAGATGAACTAATTCTATTTTAATGTAAGGCTATATTTACAGAATTGGCAAGTCTGAAAGTACAAATCTCCTACTACCCTTCTTTTACCCCTAATAAATTAGTATTTTTTTTCTAAGTTTCTTTTTCTGTCTGTTACTCAGTTCTGAGCTTCTCCTGATCATTCCCTAGGCAATATATTTCCCACCACCTCACCATCATACCTTCCAAGTTCGTTCTCACATTCCATTCCATCCAAGAATTGTCTGTAATGAACACATGGTATGTTTTATTTTTTGCCAGATGCTAGAATAGAAGAATTTGTTTATGAGAAACTGGATCGCAAAGCACCAAGTCGTCTGAATAATCCAGAACTACAGGGCCAGCATATGATTGATGCTGGAAATGAATTTGGCCCAGGAACAGCATATGGCAAGTTGCAACTTTTAGTTTATATGACAGGAATGTCTAAAATGAATTAACTAGATACTAATTCTATGATGAATAATTTATCTTCTTTTTTTTTATTTTTATTTTCAAAATTTTATTTATAATACAATTAAAAAAAAACATTGGATATAACCTGACATTCCAGTATATACAGATGAATAATTTATCTTCATTGTTCTGAAAGTGTTCTATAACTTTATATTTTGAAGCTATGTGTGCTGGGTACTGAAAATAATATTTTAAACCTACTATAAAAATGGTTGCAGTATTTAAATATGTAATAATACACAACTAAGGAAGGCTTTGAACAAATGGTGTCAATTATGTCTACGTTGCTATTTGAATCATGCAATCAATTTTTCATTGCAGGAAATGCTCTTATTAAATGTGGAGAAACACAGAAAAGAATTGGGGCAGCAGACAGAGAACTAATACAGACTGCTGCAATAAACTTCCTTACACCTCTTAGAAATTTTATTGAAGGAGACTATAAAACAATTACTGTAAGTTATTAATATAACTTCTTAATGAAACTTGAAGTAATTCTGAAAGCTCAAAGAAATAATTTTTATTGCTGTAGTTAAGCATTTGGTAGCATTATCAAGAAATGTAGCACAATCCCTGATATGCAGCCTTCGGTGATACGAGGAGCAAGAAATTGAAGTAGTTATGCTATTTCATTTTTGTGAAATAAAACTGAATCTTTTCCACATTTTTGTCACAAATAATAATGTTTTGGTTTTTTTAACAGAGAGAACGCAAACTATTACAGAATAAAAGGCTAGATTTGGATGCTGCCAAAACTAGACTGAAAAAGGCAAAAGTAGCAGAGGCTCGTGCTTTAGTAAGTAAGATCTGCTTCTTAAGAACTTCACAATACATAATTTTGTATTTAATTAGCATTTTGTTTTAATTCTTCACAATCCAGACATTGCTGCTAATAGCAGAAGGGATAGAAAACTTTAACTCATTTGTCCTTACCCTCTTTTATAGTCATGTATACCTTAGATTTTGGGAGTGCACAAAGTATTTATATTTTAGATTTTTAACCCGCCTTTATTACTTTATAAGTAACTCCAGGTGGTGAATATGCCTAATGCACCTTCCTTTTCCTATTTTTCTCACAACAACAACCCTGTGGGTTGGGTATTGCAAGAGAAGAGAGGAGCCAGCAAAATACTTCCACCAGCAAAATGCTTTAGCTTGGATGAAACACTTTATGAATATTAGGAGACCTTCATTTGCAGAATAGGAAATCTGCGTCTAGTCCTTTAAAAACAGTCACTGTGGGTTAATTTTTCAAAAAAATAAGTCACATAACAAGATTAATAGGTTTGCGGCTGCGAACATAATATTAGTAGAAGAACTTTGTTCAGCTTAAGGTGAAACTCTAACAGAAAAGCTCTAGTCTTGGGGAAATTAAATGATTCTTGAAATGTTATTTAGAAAACAAAGAGTACCTCCAGGCATTCATATTGGTGGGAGAAAGACTATAAAAAGGCTGCTTCCAGGTACATAGTTTCAAGAAAAAAACAGAACAAGTACCACATCTGAGAAGACAGGCAAAACATTATATTGGCTTTAATTCTGAGATATTCCGATGAGAAAAAGAGCTCAGTCAGCATGAATCATAATAGTCAGGCTATACAGAAAAGACTGAAGATGATGAATTTATTACACTTGTTAAGAGGTGCAATGCATCAAAGGCACATAGGCATATAAATATGTGAGCACCTCCATCTAACTAATGCATCAGAAAGGATGTAATCATAATCTAGAATTGAAAATTGTCGTAAACCAATGGGAGCATTTCAAAAGCAAGGGCAAGAAACTGCTTGTCTATTAGATATACAAATATAATTGTACGTTATTAGATACTGCCTACTCTCAAAAAACAAGTCCCTTTATAAAAATGGAACAAAAACTAAGGCTATCCAAACACCACAACAAAAAATGACATTAACCAAAAAAGTGTTAACTAAAAACACAAATGCAGTTGAACTGGATAATACTGATAATTCTGAGGGTCATTGTGATCGGCCAGTATCATTATAGAATTGGGTGGTCTTATACATTTTTAAATTAAATAAAAGGACAACACAACAAACTTGTCTTTTTGGCTTGTGGAAGGACATGTCATTTATATTTGTGTGCATTTTAAATAAGAATTGTTAGCCTTTGCAGGCTTTTACTGTATCTGTGTGACATCTTCCTTAAAGGCTGTTTTAAAAGAAAAAGCTGGTCTGTATATTATTTATACCTATTTATTTACTTGTTTAGAACAGCTGACAAACTAGGAAGAAATCATTTGTACTTCTCTTAATACAATTACCAGCAACTTGTTAATTCAAATATATAACAAAATGAAAATTGGCTTAAATTGAAAAAGCAGATATTAGTTTTTTCCCTCAAGATTTTTGAGACGATATTACTGGCTTGTGTCTAAATGAGTATTAGACAGCATTTTTTATAGCTAACAGCCACTGTAATATTTTTAAGAGAAGCCATAAAAAGAATAAATCCATATTATACAGGTTGATATCTCTCTCTTGAGAGAGAGAGAGAGAGAGAGAGAGAGAGAGAGAGAGAGAGAGAGAGAGAGAGAGAGAGCAGTATGAGCTTGAAAACATTCTAGTTATAGGTAGTTCTTATTTAGCAACTACTTCATTTAGTGACTGTTTACAGTTGCAATGGTGACAAAAGAGTAACTTTACAATCAGTCCTTGAATTTGCAACTTTCATAAGCCTGTAAAACAAAGGGAAGCTGAATCAGATCATTAGCACAATTGCGATTTCACTTAGCAACTGCTTTACTTAATGACTGAGTTGCCAGACCCAAATGGGTTCTCTTTACTAAATGGGGACTACGTATACTATCTAAGATATGTAGGTAAGGCTTAAGAGATGATCTAATAATACAGATACAATGATCTGGAAGTACTAAATTCTGTATATTGAAAAGCATTAAAAATTATTCATGAAGTGTCACTGCTCAGACAATGTGTATCTTATATCTTTGGCTCTGCCTACTGATACTGCAATCTAATTAATTGATCTACATTGCATTTTCTAGCTTTTTTCCACAACATAACATCCTTTTGTCTTTATACTTTAAGCAACTAAACCTGTCACCACCTGATGAAAATAATATTATGGTAAATGTCTCTTACATGCTCAACTTGCTGCATGTAAAATGGCTGAAGGTTTGTTGGCCTCTTGTCTTCATAACATTTCTTAAGGTGTTTCCTCTTGCTTTCCTGCTGATCAGTATTATTTACTTAGATGAAGTACCACATCAGCAACCATGATGGCCTATATATAATATGTGGTCTAACATATTCACTGGTGGGGAGGTGGAGCTGTATCTCAAAGAGCAATTTGCTGATTGAAAAAACTAATCATTTAAATAATTTTATTGTTGTGTTTCTTGCCCTTATAAGGTGCTGTATATATTTAGGAAATAATATATGTGCATGCATGAATTCCCAATGTACTATTAACCTTTAGGGTGAGCAGGAGTATTTAGAGCATAGAAAATGAATAAGAAGGAGTAAGTTTTTAAAGGTACACGATAAAAAGGAAGACATAGTAGTAGTAGTATTAATATTATATGATTTTTATCCACCTCTATAGGTAACTCAAGGCAGTGACATAATACTCCTTTCTCCTTCTGTTTTCTCCACAACAACCCTGTGAGATGGCCTTAGCCAGTATCATTCATTATATTTTTTCCATATCTGGAAAAGTATTCTGGCTTATACCACTTTTATACTACTCCATGTATTCCCTTTTGCTTTTTAAACTTCTTACCTTGTTTTTTTTAGGAATTCATTAACTCCGTCCTATACATGTCTTGATTTTCCTCTTCCCCATTCATTTTATTTTTATAAATTTCTGTTGCATTTTCTATGACTAAATGACCTCAACATACATCTTTTGTACTTTGCATTTACATTTATATTTACCCATTCATTTTTTATTGTCTCTTGTTTTACCACATACATTTTTTCAATATTCCAATTCCCCTGCATTCACTTTTTATGTTTCTTCTGATATCTCCCAACTTCTACTTTTGTCTAGCAAAGTGCGCGGAAACACTCTTGTATCTATAGCTATCTTCACTTCTTTCAACAAACATCAGACCTCACATCAGACCTTTTATTTTTTTTATTTAGTAATTCATTATTTCATAAATGTGGGAACCAAATAAGGGGATATTAAAATGTGCATGTAGGGATATTAAGATGGCAGGTAGCATGTTCACCACGAGAGATGAATATTTGTTGAAAGAAATGAAAATGGTAGACACTGGTAGAATATATACAGTTTCATTCCAGTCTTCAAGATATTGGTATTGTGTTCCTTAATATAGGAGTACTCTCTTACCTTTTGGTTCTTCAAAATCAAAGTGAAGTTCCATTAATTTATGAATGATCTGTCTGTCTTGTCAACACCACCCTTTTTCTGGTTTAAAAATTCTTGTGCTTTTCTACATTTGTTTCTTAGGAATCTTCTTTATGTACCCCTAACTTGATTAGGTAGGGAAGATATAGGATGGCACAGTCACTTAGTTAACATTTAAACAAAAGTATGAATTTCAGTAAATAAGTTAACATAGGCTATAAAGAGATTAACTTAATATTATAATTATTTGTAGTCTATCAGCACTTATCTTTCCTAGCACTAAATATATTCATAATTCTGTCTCTTTGAAGATAGAGTTTTTCTTAGACTAGGACTCTGATCCTCTCTCAATTCTATCTTTTCATCCAAATCTTATATAAAGTTACGGTTTCTACATAAGAAATTTTGCTCTACTGAAATTTCAAATAGACTTTAAATGCTGTTTATTCACAACTTTGATATCTTGTAAGGCCTTGTGAAAATATTTTGACTTATCTCAGTGCTATCATGGAAGCTTTTAAGGCACATATAATTTCACACTAATCTTTTAGAACAGAATTACATGACTTAAAATGCAATATACTAATTATTAAAAGATATAATACTTTAATTGTGAGTGCTAGCAATTTGAATATTGTATTGTCTTTAATGTATAAAAACAACAAAATAAGTGGGTCCTTTTTGGTAACCATTGGATTTAAATTATTGAAATGTCAAAGGCAGGCTTGATAGCAAGAGAAATCACTTATGTTTCCATTATTGTTTGTAGTAGCTGTTTTTTGAATAGATTTGGCTTGTGTAAGCCATTTTTCAAAATAAATGTCTTCCATCTGGTCATAATTCTGTCAAATGCTATTGAGATTGTATTCTTTGTGTTGCTTTCAAAGATATAGGGTATTTTTAACACTTAGACTATTCTTTTGACACATTTAATTCATTGGATCCAGAAGTCTATAAAGGGAATATGTGAAATGAGGAATTTTCTCTCTGTGTATGTACAACCGTCCTACTCTATGTCCTATGTCATCTCTTAAATATTGAACATTATAGAGGAGTTAAGAAACATCTGGCAAGGAAGAAAATAAGCCACCACTGAATCAAAGCCCAAAGGGACCTTTTTTTTTCTAGAAAAGCAAGTCTGGATCCAAATACTGAATATCAATTTTAAAAAAATTGTTTCAAGTTTTAAGCTGCTGACAGAATGTTGAAGATTCCTGTTTCCACATTTTCCTTTTCTACAAATTGTTTTTAGACTGCCACGAAGAAAATTGTTGCATAAAGGTTTTATCTGGCAGTAAAAGCATAATAATATATGGATAATATAAATAAGGATAATAATGATGATAATTTGGAAAACCATCCTGTAAGAAACTGCACTAGTAATAGCACTGTCAACTATAACAACATTCAATAGATTAAACTTCAACTAATATCAAGCTATGGTCATTACATTATAAAATAAATCCATGAAATGATCATTAATTCGTAGCAAGAGAAAAATGAACAGTGAGGAAAACTTAGCAATATAAATTCTTATTGTTTCTTTACATTTTTATGCTTACAAGATATGGGCAGAGGAAGTGACAAAAGTAAGTACTCCAAAGTGAAAATCTTGATTAAGAAATAATGCTGAATTGCTGATATCCAGAGATAAATATTATTGTTTCATTCAATGGTCAATAGTGCGATCATGGCAAAATGATAAACAATTACCCAAAAAAATTCTAAACCTATATATGAACTCCATAAGATAATTCTGATCTGTTGTGCGGGATAAGAACTTGTTTGATTAATCTATGAGCTTCAGTCTCCAATTCTGTGTTTGAAATGCATTCAGTACTACTTCTCACTGGAAGTTTGGAACAATATAGTCTTGTTTAGGCACTCATTTGATTGCTTTGAGACTTTAAAATGGGGAGGGAATAGGGCATGTAGACAGCCTCATTGCCACTTTTTTTTCCAACTAGACCTTCAGACAGGTGTTCTGAAACAAACATGTATCGGCACTCATTTAAACATGAATACATCTGTCAGGGTGATTTAGGATTGCATTACATTGAATGGAAATATATTGTAGCTGTTTTTCAGAATTCAGCTCCTGAATTATTTTCAATATAGTTTCGCTGAAAATGTTTTTAAAAAACCTATTTTGCCAATATAGCCTTTAGACTTACAATAAGTGTTCTTCCAGCAAAAAATACAGTGTTTACTTATTTCAGGAGCTGGCTGTTCAGTCCACCATTTATTGAACCATTTATTATATTTTGCCCACAGCATAAGTAATGTTGTGTTATCAATACTCTTAAAAGTTGTAATATGTTTTTCAGTCGGAACAGGAAGTGCGGATAGCCCAAAGTGAGTTTGACCGGCAAGCAGAAATTACTCGACTTCTGCTGGAAGGGATCAACAGTACACATGTAAGTACAGAGTAAAAGGGAAGATTGTTTTGCTTAATTGTTAAGGGTAAGAAAATCAAAAGCAATTAATTATAACTAAATGTAAGATTATTAATTATAACTAAATGTAAGATGATTATATTCCTGCCTCTCCTTCAACCATCCTGAATCATCTGATACAGTAAAAACTATAGTAAATAAAATATCCTGTAGAATTTCAAGTTCCTCCCTTTGCCCCATTTAAAATGAAAATCTGCAGTTTAAAGTTCAGATTACAGTCTTTGTTCAGTGATCACTCATTCAGGGTCCATTTGAACTTACAACAGCGTGGAACTAGTGGGACATTATGGCTGGTTTTCAAAGTTCCAGCCATTGCAAAGTCCTCATGGTCATATGATTATGATTTGGGTGCTGAGTGACTGGCACGCAATTATAATAGTTGCAGTGTCGAGCATGTGATCACCATTTGCGATCACCTAACAATGACAGTGGGAAATGCTGCCACTGACATCGTAAATTGATGTGGTCACGTGATATCACACATTCTGACTGTCCATCTTAGCTGTGGAATTGCCAGTCCCAATTACTGTCATTAATGAGGATTGCCTATATTAATAGTTAATTGTCTTATTTGTAAAATTTGTAAAATTTACCAATTTCACGTCTGATAAAGGTAATCCTTAAAACTTAATTCCCCCATATCCTCCAAATTAACATCCCTGTATTTTTAAATGATGGAAACATCCCTGTAATTTTATTATTAGTATTTATGTTTTATTGTATCATAGGCACATCATCTTCGTTGTTTAAATGATTTTGTGGAAGCCCAGCTGACTTACTATGCACAATGTTATCAATATATGTTGGACCTTCAGAAACAACTTGGAAGGTAACAAAATAATCAAATATTTAGTTACATGTTTAAACTAAAGAGGTAAAATCAATAGAATTGGCAGGGTTTTTTTAAAATTTTGCTTAGTGACTATTCAAATTTCATGATAGTGCAATTCCTTGAGAATATCTTTCTGGAAAATTTCTGTTCACATAACATCAAAGATCAGTATTTTATCATTATAGCTAGGATTTAATTGCACACATTTCCTCTGAAGCAAAGAAAAGGTTTTTTGGAATTTATATGACTAGTCATTGAAGACAATTTGAATCAAATATTTTATAACTTATACAATTTTGTTTTTAAAGCTTTTGTACATTGTGTTTTATAGTTCAAAAACAGAATTGCTTGTTGTTGAAAAATTATACTGGAAGATAAAAATCCACGTTAAAATTGTTATTTGAAAGTGTGTTACAACATTCATGTTTATCTGAAATAATTAATTTTATTTTCATCCTTTATAGCTTTCCAGCTATGGTTCTTGCCAACAATAACCAGTCATCTTCAACCTGTGCTCCAAGTAGTTCTTCTAGTAATGTGTCCTCAGCTACTGTTACACCCTCACTAACTTCAATAAGCAGTGCAGCAGCTTCTTCAAGCTTTGGTGAATTGAAGTCCTCAAGTGGTCGCAGAAAAGCCAGAGTACTTTATGATTATGATGCTGCAAACAGCAGTGAATTATCACTACTTGCAGATGAGGTACACATTTACTATTTTTTAAATAAAAGCAAATATTTTATATAAGTATGATAGATCTGCCTTTGGTCTTGGAGCAATTGCAGTGTGATCTGGGTTTGAATCATATTACCATAAGGCCTTTGCCTTGGTCAGATTATGTATGATCTCTTTTTGCTCATTGGTGATTGCCCCCTCACTTTGCAGGTATATAGAGTTAAGATTATATTGGTCTGCCCCAGGTGACTGATGGATCCTGTGAAGATTCAAATGGACCTTGGATTTTTATTCCAAGGATCTGATGGGTGGTTTAACTGCAGCTTGGTTATTGCCTGGAATGGGCCTGTGTTGGATTGCTCCTATGTGGCCTCTTACTGTGCCTTTAGCTGGAAGTGCTCTTTGTTTTTCTGAGGAACTTTGGGAGAACAGTGTTGGAAGAGGACAGAGAGTGAATCTGACCAAATATGAGTAAGAGCCACATCTGGAATTCCATCATGGCAATAAGTGTGGCAAAACATGGTTATTTTTCTGCCTTTGTTGTGTCTGCCGATAGCCATCCAACAGCTCTCTTTAAAGAAGAGCCGGGGAAGGATGAGCCATTGAATTACTGGGGGGGGGGGATGGGAAGAGTTGGCATCTGGCAGATAAAATTATTTAGATTCACTCAGAAGTGGACTCCAACTGGATAGATTTACCAAGGTGACAGGAACAAGGACCTATGTTGTTTTTCTGGAATGAGTTTGTCTGGTAACTCCTGTGAAAAGAGAAAGGGTCTTTGGGTCTTTTAATCTGTCCACTTGTTTATTAGAATAGTGAACACTGCCCAGGGGTGAGATGTGATATATCCTTGTGATAATATCAGCTTCATTCAGAGGAAATGGTACCATTTGCATTGAAGGTAGTATGCTCCGTCCTCAAGAAGCCTTTGCTGGATCCAACAATCCTGGAGATAATTTTTCATCCAGCCTTTAGAGTTTTGATTCTGGGGAACATTGTTTAGAAGTTGGTTAGGCTACAGCTTCAGAGGGCTGTGGCAGATAGGGATTATCTAGAGTCCTTTCAGTCACATTCGAGACCAGGACTTAATATTGAGATGGCATTGGTTGTGCTTGTTGATGACATTTGGCAAAATCAGGATGGGGTAGTGCAATCATTGTGGTTCTCCTTGATTTCCTGGCACCTTTCTATGCCATCAGCCGTGATATCCTTCTTGATGCCATGCAATGATTAGGAGTGAAAGCTTAGCATCTGGTGGTTCTTTCTCTGTGATCAGGGCCAGTTGATGTTAGCAGATGTGTGGAAGAGATCAAGACAGAGACCCTGATACATGAGGTTCCTCAGGACTTAATGTTCCTCCTATTGCACATGGTAACAATTGCTGTCAAAATCTTAGGCTGGGCAGTTCTGGATGAAGAGCAACAGCTCAACCTAATCTTGACAAGGTTAAGTAATGTGGTGTTTGGACTACCCTGATCTGAAGATGTTCTATCTAATGCCAAAGAAAGTTACACTTTCCCAGTTACGACTCATGTGCAGTTAGGGGGACTTTTGGATTCATGGCTCCTAAGTGAGGATCTGGTGTGGTCAGGGAGATTTTTGTACAGATTCCTCTAGTGTGCCATTTGGCACCCATGCCTGGATTGGGAAGCCCTTGAGATAGTCACTCATGCTTTGGATTGCAGTGTGCTCCACATGGGGCAGCTTTGAAGACCACTCAGAAATTGCAGCTGTTTCGAAATGTAGTGACATAAGCAGTTATAGGTATGTCATTTATGCCCATGTAACCCCTCTGCTGCATGAACTGATTACTAGTCTTCCAGGTACAATTCAGTGTTTATTTGACACTTAATGAAGCTGTTCCTAGCATGGAGCCTGATTATCTGAGATCTGTCTTCCATAGTTACTGCCCACCCTAAATGATCTGGGAGAGTGGGAATGCTGTCCTCCCATCAGTTAAAAAGTGTCATCTGGAACGAACCAGGAAGTGGGTTTTCCCTGTCACAGTACCTGCAAGTCTTGCTTTTAATATTGTCTAAAATACACTGTTTTATTCCGTTTGCCAGTCAGAATTATGTTGGAGTAAGGTGACTTACAGTTTACATATATAAATAAATGTTTTCTTTATTGTTTCTAGGTGATAACAGTGTACAGTGTCTCTGGCATGGATTCAGACTGGTTGATGGGTGAACGAGGAAATCAAAATGGCAAAGTGCCTATTACTTACTTAGAACTGTTAAACTGAGTGATTGGCTTGTATAAAGACTGTCAGTTATCGTGAGATCATATTTATATGCAATTTAACTTTATATAAACCAGATTTAAGTGTCTTCCATGTTAATGTCTTAATGGATGAGAGTAACGAGCATTAGAAATGGGCATTTCTTGCCAATATTGTTGCATGGTAGATACTGTTTTGAGAACTAAGTTGTTTAAGGGCTTTTTACTTTATGTGCCAAGATTGTTTCCTACATAACTTTGTTTCTATTGGAATTTTCACTAATAACAGTTTTCTGCTTTTGAGTACCCTGAACCTGAAAGCAGGGAAAACAGTTTTCTACAGAACTTTTCATAATGACAAGCCTCTTCACAATAATAAATTGTTGAAAAATTGTTGCCTTTCTTTTCCTAGCTACAATTGAAGTTTTATCTTTTAAAGGACCATAACTGTATTTTTGTGCAGCAAAACACTATGGTCTTAAAGAAAAGTCTTCATAACATGTTAGTGTTGGGGTAGATATTGGATCACTGGAGGGCAATGTTTATGGGATATCCTTGACTTATTCCCCCACTTCCACACATTTGAGTTTTTGCACAGATTTAATAGCATTGCTTGTTAATACAAGTATTTTGGTCAAATGTTGAATGGATTACAAGTGTTAGTCACCTTGAATACAAAAGGAAAGGAATAACATCAAGATAGTCCGAATTGGGAAGTCTTTTGTGAACTTGCCTCTGGGTGACACGGTAATTCATCTATGCCAGTAGTTCTCAACCTGTGGGTCGGGACCCCATTTGGGGTTGAACGACCATTTCACGGGGGTCGCCAAACAATGCAGTCTGCCATTTTTTCCCCCCTTTTCCTTAGCTGTGCTACTCCCTTTTGTTCTATTGGCTTTTGAAAGCCAATAGAATAGACTCTCTTGAATAGAGTCTAATTCTATTGGCTTTCAAAAGCCAATAGGAATTGTCCAGGCTGTCTCTGCCCTGCTGAGTCCGCCAAAAGTCCCATTCTGCAAACGGTGCTGCACCAGTTGAGTAGTCCTCGACTTAACGACCGGTTGGGGGTCGCGGCATTAAAAAGGTTGAGAACCACTGATCTATGCAGTCTAATTTTTCACCATTTATCATTATAATTCACAATTGTACATTTCATTTTTCCTGTTAAACATTTTTTTCCTTTTATGTAAGGGAAACAATAACAGCCACAGATAGTCTTCACATGCATCCTGCCCAACCATTCCAAAAGCAGGCAAGCTCTGTGACATTTCTCCAGATACACCAGAAAGAAATTCCTCGTTTCACAATGCCACTACCTTCTTTCGTGTTATCATTGTAACTGAGGGCCTTCTTAAGTCATAAACACTATTGAGAAAGGAGATTAATAACACACAAGAAGCCAAGCTCCTAATCAGCTGAAGATTGACAAAGTAATGGCTGCCAGAAAAGAAACTCTGGAGTGCATGCCACCGTCCTCTCTTAATATTTGGTTACTTTCTGAGGAAGGTACCAGCAAAGTTATAGCTGGAGAAATCATTCTGAAACTAGGTGCTGGGATTTCATGGCACAATAAACAATGCACCCAATAAGGACACTGTATTTTGGCTACATTTGCATTCAGCTCATACCATAATAACTATTTTTAAAAACTCAATTATTGAACATAAAATGGATATTAGGGTCTTTCCTATGTAGCTTGTCAAGAGGTGATCAATGGACTTTTAATCTGAAAATAGTTTGAGTTTCTAGCTTCAGAAGAGGATTTTCCTTACCTTCAGACTACAACTTGCCTGAAAAATGCCACAGGTTATTAAAGCTTTCTTGGCCAACTTCCTTATTGTTCCCAGAGGAGTTTTTAAAGATTAAGCTTTGTAATTGCTCCTCCAAAACTGAACAAATAAAGGGAGGTTTGCTTCTGTTAGGTTAATGAGCAAGCTTTATCTTGTCTATAAGTTACATGCTCATTATGTGCTTTCCCTTTTTGGTTTGCTTAGCTTGTTTAGCTTGATCTTTAAAAACTCCTATGAGAATAATAATAATTGGGCAATCTCAGTATCTCAAGCACTTCCCCCATAGTCCACATGAGATGCTAGGAAAGCTGCAAAAACTGGCCCAGATAGTCTGCAGTTGATAAGAAAACTGGAAAGAGTTGTGTACCAAAAGAGGCTGCTGTCCATCTCAAGGATCCCAACTGAGGGAAGGTTCAGGAATGAGAAAAATTCTTTAAAATGCTGTGTATTTCAGTGATCAGAGAAAATAATAAGGAGAATAAGCTGTCAACCTTCCCCCTATAGAGTTTCTCAGTAACAGCAACAACAATAACAATAATAATAAAGTTGGAAGGGACCTTGGAGGTCATCTAGTCCAACCCCCTGCTCAGGCAGGAAACCCTATACCATTTCAGACAAATGGCTGTCCAGTCTCTTCTTAAAAACTTCCAGTGTTGGAGCATTCACCACTCCTGGAGGCAGGTTGTTCCACGGGTTAATTGTTCTAACTGTCAGGAAATTTCTCCTTAGTTCTAGATTGCTTCTCTCTTTGGTTAATTTCCATCCGTTGCTTCTTATCCTGCCTTCTTATCTTATCCTACTTTGGAGAATAGCTTGACTCCGTCTTCTTTGTGGCAGCCCCTGAGATATTGGAACACTGGTATTGTGTCCTACCTTGTCCTCTTTATTAAAGTAGACCAGGGGTAGGCAACCCAAAACACTCCAAGAGCCACTTGGACCCATTTCCCACAGAAAACAAAACACCGGAAGCCGCAAAACCCTTTTGATATCTAAAATGAAGATAACACTGCATATATCCTTTTTTACCTTTATTATAGGTGTGTGTGTGTGTGTATATACACACACACACATACATACGTACGTACGTACACAGGTAAAAAAGGATATATGCAGTGTTATCTTCATTTTAGATGTCAAAAGGGTCTCTGTCTCCCTCCCTCCCTATCTGCCCTTGGTCGGCCAGTCCTCTTCCCCCACTCTCTTTCTTTCTCTCTCTTTCCTCTCTCTCTCTCCTTCCCTCTCTCCCTCCCTCTTTCTCTCTCTCTCTTTTCCCCCCTCTCCCTCTCTCCTATCTGCTGCTCACCTGGCAAGCTGGCTTCAAGCTGTTCTCCAACAAGCTCAGGGGTAGGCAACCTCGGCTCTTTTATGACTCATGGACTTCAACTCCCAGAATTCCTGAGTCAGCATAGCTGGGCTAGCTAGCTCTCTCCTGCCCTTCCTGCTTCCTGTGCCCAATAAGCTTTTCAGCTCCTGGGAGAACACTGAGTGCACTCTCTTTTGCACATGCACACACACACACACACAAAAACAAACACACACACAAACAAACACACAGAGAGACAGAGAGAGAAGCAGGGAAGTGCAAGTGCCTCTCTCTGTCTCTGTCTCTCTCTGCAAATGGCAGAGGAGGCTGGGAGCCACAGGGGAAGGCTCAAAGAGCCGCATGCGGCTCCGGAGCCGCAGGTTGCCAACCTATGAACTAGACATACCCAATTCTAGCAGCCTTTCCTTATATGCTTTAGCCTCCAGTCCCCTAATCATCTTTGTTGCTCTTCTCTGTACTCTTTCTAGAGTCTCAACATCTTTTTTACATCATGGTGACCATTATGCCTGAGTCCTTTGGGATTGGGCGGCATATAAATATTTGAAAATAAATAAATAAATAAATATATTACATAGTTCCCCTATACAATATGACTCTGTCAAAAGGGAGAGTGGGGAGGAATTCCATTTCAAGCACCCCATCACTTCCTGGAGCAATAAACTACAGTTCTCCCAAATACAAAGACCTGTGAGTCTTGAGTGTAACCAAGCACCTGGTCCCTTTTGTCACCAGAGGGATATTATCAATTTTGAAAGAATTATTGATAACTGATTTTCAAATTTCATACTAGAGGGATACTAGTGATGGCCTTTTTCAGAAGTTTAAATGTGCTGAAAAATACATGTTAATGACCCCATTGTCAAGAACTGACAAGAACCACAGATGTTACTTTGCCAGTTTCTCTGTCTGATGGCTGCCCCTGTGTTTGGTCTTGTGCATATTAAATGGCTCTCTCCCTAAGGACTGTTCTACAACTTTTTAAAGTACAGTGAAAGATTCACTCTTGATGGTTGACCTCTAGTAATACAACACATTATTCGTTTTGGTGATGAAGCCACACTTGGAAAGTGACTGCTTTGTAATAATAGAGGATGCCTCCAGTGAAACATCAAGAATGCAGCTGGTATTCTGAATGGCTAAAAATCTTGATCCACCACAAAAATATTCACTAGCTTAATTTCTACTGATGACATGTAGACCCATATACATATTTGAACAGCTAATGACTGCCTTTAAATCTAATCTGGGCACAGAGGAAAGACACAGATGGGTTGATTCAAGCCATAAATTACTTATGTGGCTTGACTTTGAAAGCATCAGAGTAAAATTCAAAGATGTTTGTTTATAAATAGCAGCCTATGGAGGCACACCAGGTGGCCCTCCTTGCATTAAACTATCATATAATGTCTCATAAAGGCAAAGACCAAAGCCATCATAAAAACAAGGCAGATGTTGATTCAGTCTGTCAGATTGCTAAACTTCACACTTCTGGCATTTAACAACTTGAAGTTTTTGTAATGGACTGTCACTCTCAGCCATCCAAGAGCTTTATTGACATGGGAGGCACGTTATAAAGTCCTCTCTCTGAATGTGTGCTACACACCTATATAACAGGGCTAACAAGAGTGGCCCCCCAGTTTCAATATCAGAAATGGCAAATGATATCTGAAGATAGGCAAAACTTTGGGCTTTGGTCTAGGTTTATCAGAAGCAATAAAACCCCCAAAAGATCCCTAAAATCTACATACCCCACCCAAACTCTAAACAACATGCTCTTTCGGGACATAATAAGATTAACCTACCAATACCAAAAGGGCACACTCAGACTCAGGTCAGAGTACAGGACACAGGAAATACAAAGCCTCAAACAGGAACAGGGAACAACCTCAAAAGCCCAAGAAGGCATAAAAACCCACACTCCCAGCAGTGGTCAGCTTTCCCAGAGCCATCTTCTGTCTGGTTTTGCTTTTCAATAAACCACAACCTTCTTTCTAAAGCAGTCTCCATTTTGTTTATTCCCAGCTTGGACTGGACCCTAAAGAAGATTTTTCTTTCAACAGTATTATACAGAGCAGAGTTGTCTATCTCTCTGCCCTTAATATTGGGACCTATTCTTGTTGCTCCAAGTTTTGTAACCAAAATCACTTTCAACTTTGAGGTGGCAATGCGTAAAGTAAGAGTTTATGACCTACAGACTGATGATCATCAGTCTGTAGGTCATAAACTCTTACTTTATTGGCTAAAGGCTTACTGTAGTTCTTGCCCTCTGCCCTATTATT